TGCCTTGTTGTATGACCTTGTGCTCACCTTGTGTACCCGTCGGTTGGGCTGGCTTGAGCTCTTCGTAACGGCCTTGAGAGATGTCGATCTCGCTGAGAGGTTGGGTTGAGGGTTCGCTTCCGGTGCGGAAATCTTCACACCACGAACGGGGGTTCTGCGATCTCGATCTTGGATCGCACCGATCTTGATTTGTCTTCGAGATCGTAGTCTTTGCTGTGCGGAAATCTTCACTCAGCAAATAAAAGTCCTGCGTCGATCTTGCCTTGGGATCGGTCCGATCTGGTCTTGGGATCGGCCGATCTTGCCGGAAGTGCGCAATTTGGGTAGATCGGTGTCTTGTTTCGCCAAAATGAAACGTGCCGATCTGTCCAGGGGATCGCTTCGATCCTGCTCGGTCTTGTCTTGAACGCCTTGTCCAGATCTTCTGATCACTTGAGCCGTCTCGCGATCCTGTGTCCAAAATCCTTTTCCTTTTCCGTTGTGTGCTGCTACCCTAGCAGTTGAGTTGAGTGTGAGTACTTGATCGATCCGGGCCAGATATCCCGAGATCGCTCTTCTCGATCTTGGCCAACAATCCAAGATCGGTCTTCTGTGTCCCTGTAACACGCGTGCCTTAACCCGCCGGGGAAGCCAAATCAATCTTGCCTGGAGAAGAGGGGAGGATTACGTGCGTCGTGAGCAGAAGAAGTAGAGTTCAAGTCTGTTTTATTAACCAACCAAATTACTATCCAACCTATCCTCAAGCCTGTTCCTAACTATAGGTCACTCTTCAAACCGATATCGCCTTGAATCTGGATCGCCCCCTTGCCACGTGTCGAAATTTCGTGCCCTGTACTCCAATGATAGCGCCAATATTCCCGATACCGTACCTGAACGCCAAAAGAGGACCAAATCCCAAATGGGGTAACAAATACCCATTTTTGGTACCCAAAAGCCCAAAATAGTGCCCAAATGCCGAAGGCGTCTAAATCCATTTTGCGACGTCAATTCGGACAGCTTCCACTGGCTCTTTCGGCGTGAAACTTCTTGACATTACTTAGTGACCTCTACCAAGTATATTCCACATGATCCAGTGTCTTCATCAACCATATATTCATGATCAGTGTGGAAAATGACCGATCTGTCATCCAATATCGAGATGTTGGAGGTCGATCCGGTCTAAATCGGCAATTAACACTTTTTCATCTCCTCATACGTGCTTCAATATCATCCTCCAGTGTTATCCAATCGACAACTTCATTCATACGTCTCGACATCGGTTTCCTTGACTCTTCTGAGTATGCAAAAACTTCCAGATCGGTGTATAATTAACCAAAATCAGTACTCCCAATTTAGGATCAGTAGAGTATCACCGATCCGTATGGTGTTGCACCTTCTTTGCCGATTCACCGACCCGTACCACCTGGTCCCAGATGCACTTTGGGGAGTCACCTTGTCCCAGATGTGTCAATTCTCCAACAAACCGTTGCCACAACATGTCGATCTGCGATCTAATCTTAGCCTGCTTCAATGTACGTATACTTCTTCTTGACCGGCATTCCAATGAGCTGTATGACTTCATCCCGACGTCTGGTTCCAGATCGCCCCATAACATTCTGCAAGATGTTACACCTTCGTCGCAGAGTCATATCATATCACCCGGTCTCATATCCTTGTCCCATATTGTTCCATGTAAATCGTTCCAGATCGCTCCGTCCCAGGTCGATTCATACCCATTAGTCTAACGACAGTTGGATCGGTTCGCCGATCCCGTTAAGATCATCTTCCACCTCCGTATTGGATCGCCGAGTCTCATGGCCTCCTTTTCCACCAGTAAGCGGAGCTTTAAAGGTGTGGCCACCGATCCTCGTACAAAATTTGCGTAGTGACTTTGCCACAACCGCCCCCTGTACTGAAGTCTTTTGTACAGCAATTGACCTCAGTACAGTCACTCATCAACTTCGTTCCAAGCACTCAAGTCCGTCTCATGGCCTCTCCGGCGCATCCACTGACCTCGCTAATCTCATCAGAAGGACCCACCATGTTTCTGTCTCCGGATCGCGACATGTCGCCCGGATCGCCCGATCTCGGAGGACACACCCCAGCGGTCCCCGATCGGCCTGGGTCTCCGCGCCATCTAAGCCCAACCGGATCGCCCACAATCCCCACAGGATCGCCAGATCGACAGCCGACCAGACCCTCGTCTCCATCCCGAGACTCGCCATCTAGATCGCCAGATCGCGGGTGGTATGCTCCTATCGTCCCAGATCAACATGAGTCTCTCAGTAATCCCAGATTGGTCGGATCACTCTCGACCGCCGCGGAATTATCAGATCGTTCCTCCGAGCCATTCCCGCTTCCCACTCCTCCGGCGGCCCCAGATGCGTCCAGATCCGACATCCCGGCCGCTAATGAATCTCGTGAAAGGTCTGCTCCAGCTGTGGGCGTCACCGGCTTCGTTCCCAGAGTCTCTGCCGACGACGTTCGTCTCACGATGGCCACGATCTCGTATTTGTGGGATCGAGAGGCTACCTTCTGCAGCCAAGCCGACACCATTCATGCGCTCCAGCAATCCTACCGAGATGCCGTCGTCCGGGGGATCGCTTACAAGACGAGCTTGATTCGCTATACAGATCAGCCGCTCCTTTTGTCTCCTTCGTCCAGCTTCGATATGACTGGATGCAGGGCCGCTACGTCGACGCAGTGCATTCTTTGAGTGATTGCCATCGAGCTCTGCGGACATATCGAGATCAATCGGAGGAGATTCGTCGGCTACGCACTTTGATATGTGCCAACGACGAGGCTCAGGGGAACTTGGAACGACAGGTGGATGCTTTGAGGGCTCAGCTTCATTCGCTCCAAGCCGAACTCAACTCTCTCCGACAGCAGCGTGATCAGCTGACCATGGACATATCCTTCCTTCACATAGATTTTTTGCACTTGAAGGAGCAATTGGCTCAGTCTCAGGAGGAGATCGCAGATGGACTGTCTTCGATCAGCGATCTCATGCAACAAGTGGATGGTTTGACTCCCCTAGAGGGTCAGTTGGCACTTTCGCAGGCGGAGAACGCCAACCTACGTCGTCAGCTTGCGGAACACCTCGAGATATACGACCAGTTGCAGGTGGTGGAGCATGATCGGGATCAGGCTATAGCTGAACACCGTGCTCTCCTCGACACACGGAACAGTGCTATACTCGGATCCCGGTCGTCTGCGTTGACCGCTCGATCGACGCCTAAGAGTGCTACTCCGGCCGGATCGACCCCTGCTCCCACTACCCCAGGATCGAGATCGCTTGCCCGTAGGTCCAGATCGAGATCTTCCGGCCCGCCTGCCAAGCGTCGGCGTATTCAACCAAGGGCACAATCCAGAGATTCTTTCACCGCCCGTGTGGCCTCCCGGCTATTGTCGTTGAACCCTTCAATGCCTTTAAACAAACTTCCCGGATTGGCCCCACCCGAGCCTCCACCCAATTCTTCTTGTTCTCCGCTTTCGTCCGCGGCTTCTGGGACTGGATCGGGAAGTGAGGAGCTGACCGAGTCGGATTCTAGCTCGGATGATTTGACTCGTGCTGCATTATCCCAATCGAGATCGGCCTCTCGTCGTCAACCTAGATCGGATGCCCGATCTTCGACCCCGAACCCCTCTCCGGCCGCTCGGGTTGTTCCCGCTTCTCCCGCAGCTACTGCGTTGGCTCAAGCACTGTTGCGTTCGCCTTCTCCAGACGTTCCGGAGCCTCGTTATCTTTCGTACCCATCCACTCCGGTCGCGGCTGTCCCCGTAGTCGAAATTCAAGATGATGGCGGCGTAGAAGACGTGGAGGTATCGCCGACAGGGGAGACACACAGCGAGACTGGCTCTGTTAGTCCGCCTCCGGAGTCCACTGCGCTTTCGGATCGCCATTCGTCCGATAGCGAAAACAGCATCACCCTTCCGGCACGCCAAGTGGCTAACAGAGTTTTCTCTTCCGTGGACTTCGACAATCTTCCGCCACTCCAGCAACCACGGGATCGGTGGATTCCCAACTATCTGGCGCCCTCCCGACGGGTAGCTTCCGAGATCGCTCCATGGTCCGTTTCGCGGATCGCGATGGTTTGCGTGAGGACCATGACCATTGAGCTGTTGTTTCACCACTACTCCAAACCCAGGAATTTTCTGTTTCCCTTCTACAATCATGGACGAACTCCGCCTACGGGGACTTGGGCTTCTGGGCTGATCTCGCGGCAACACATCGAGGCTCTTTACGCTTTAGCCCCTTGGGATAATATCATAGTCCCAGTGAACCCGATATCATTCACCATGACTGGATGGTATCGTGATATGGGTCATCGGTACCTGGAGCTTGAGTCCACTCATCGACAAGCTCTGTGGGAATCTACTCATGCTTTCCCGATTCCTCCGGCTCAAAGGCGATCTGAACGGTTCATGCAGACATTCTGGCGCCAACGAAAACAACGCCGTTCTCGCTTTGGAGCGCGTTGGAAGAACTTCTTGAAGATGATACTCAGCGGCATGATCGCTGGCCACTGTGATCTCGACATCTTGCTAGATCCCTTCTTCCTCCACTATCCGCGCCCACATGAAGACCGAGTTTGGTATCCAGGGTTAGGACACTCTAACGACCCAGCTGACTTGCTAGAGGCGTTGGACATGGCAGACCAAGAGGATCCTTGGCGCAACCAGTTCCGTAACGCCTATTGGGATCATCCCGGATCGCAGATCCCTCGTCTGCAGGACAAGTTCAAACCTGCTCCATCGTCTTAGTCCAAGATCGATATCCAAGCCCGATCGTCTTTCATAATCGTGTAAGTCATTCAATCATCTTCTTTTTTGGTACTTCCATTCTTTGCAACTTCCACGATCTCGATCCTCCTCGCTCCACATCATTCAGGAAGGTAATTCACTTGACTATCTCCATACTCACATACAAAAACCTCATCCACCAGCATGTGCTACCGTCTAGCACATCTTTCAACCCCCTACATCCGCATATGCTACCTCCCGCATACTTGTTCGAACTGTTAAGGTTCGTCCGACTTGCCTTCATGAGACTGCATTACGTCGAAACGGTTTCGACTCACTCGGTTCCGCTCAAACTCTTGCAAGATCGCCCCACAACGTAGATCGGCCTCGTCCACCCAACTCAGATCGGGATATCCCTTCCACTTCACCAGAAACTGCCGGTGTTCGCCCATAACGGGTTTTTCTACCAGATCGCACGTCCAATATTGCCTCTACTTCGTATTCCCCTTCTTCAAGATCGCCATCCCAACTGTCTTCTGGCAGAGAGCTTCATCGAAATCCCAAGCGATCTGATTCCTCTATCGTAAGCTGATCCTTCGGGCGTTCAGGGAACGTCTTTACCTTTTTTAGCTTCGATATGTGTACAATCGGAAATAACCGATATGGGGTTCCAGCGATCTCCAATTTTACAGCATGATCTCCACATACGTCCGCAACTCGGAATGGCCCATGCCACATGTGCGCTAGCTTCTTCGCATATCCCTCTTTAACCCGGTCAGGTATAGCCAAAACTTGCCCCCCCCCTCCCGTTTGGTGGTGGCGTTCCTTTTTGGGGTGGGCCCGCCCCCCCCGGGGGGGGGGTGGGTGGATAAAGATCGTTCACTGCAGATCGGGCTCGCAGGTATTGTCTTTGGATTTTGTATCTCCACCTCTTTGGATCGCGATCTCGTGTCCCCGTATTCCCCACTGGTAGCGTAGCCTCCAAAGTCGATCGCGGGTCCCACCCATGAATCAGATAAAATGGGGTATCCCCCGGATCCGATCTTGTGCAGTGTTAATGGCAAAGGTGAGCCGCTCAGCATACTCATCCCAGTCTCGCTGGTCAACTTCAGCCACGTACATCTTGAGCGAATGTGTCAGGGTTTGCACCATTCGTTCGGCTGTTCCATTTGCTTGTGGCCTGTAAGCCATAGTAGCACGCTGTTTTTGTCCTACGATCCGACTGAAGGCTCGAAAGAAGTCGGACATAAATCCCGGTTCTCGATCGTGCCTGATAGCCTCGCTAGCTCCGAAGCGTCGAAACACACATTCTTCGTAATTCTCCGCTATTGTTTGTGCCGTCCGAGAGGAGCTAGCCTTTGCAATCACATATCCCGAGAAAAGGTCGACCCAAATGAGCAGTTCGGTGTTCCCCTTGATGGACTTGGGCAACGACGGTATATGATCCATGGCGATGATCTGGAATGGATAGGTTGCGTGTAGATTGCCCGGGGATTTCCCATGAATCATCGGGTTTCCTTTCCCGGTCTCACAGTCGGTACATTCGCCCACATATCGTTGAACGCTCCGATACAGTCCTCTCCAATGAAATCGCGATCTGATCCTCTGATAGGTTCGGCCAATACCCTGATGGCCTCCTTCCAGACTCGTGTGATAGTGATGCAAAAAATCCTGCTGCAACGTCTCAGGGATCACCAACCGCATCAAACCATCGCGATCTTCCGACTCTCTTTTCGCCATGGGGCAAAAAAATAGCAGATTGTTCTCATCGATCTCGTAATCCGGCGCCAGTTTGGCGCACGTCTTCACTTCTACCGCATCCAAGTTTGATACATCGCCACTTAGATATGTCTTGAGATTGACAATCCAACGCTCTTCATCTTGAGCTTGGACAATTCGTTGAATCCTGATCCTCTGTACTATCTCCTCCTGTATCACTTCAGGTTCATGACGTATCCTCCTGGCTGATCTCGCGATCGCAGTTACCCGAGCTAGCTGACCATCTTGCTTGGGCTTCAACAATTCATCGAGACGGTTCAGAGTCATCAGATCTTGCCGATCCTCTTCAGCTACAACCGTTCTTCCCTTTTCGCTCTGCAATGCTGTGCTGGCTAGTCGATCTGCGCTCTGATTCCACTCTCGCTTCATATGCAGAAACTCGTGACTAGGCCATGACTGCAGCTTCTCCAACGCTTTGTGTCTCAGAAGCTGAAGGCCCGGTGCCTTGCAGTCGATCTCACCGCGCATCTGTCGAATCACCAGACTGGAATCTCCACACAGTATTACTCGCCCCCTATCCAGACCGGCGAGTAACTCAAAGCACAGTAGCAAGCCATTATACTCAGCTTCATTCACAGTCAGATCGTGAACATATCTCGATTCGGCCGCCACGATCGTCCATTCGGGTAACTTCCATATCACGGCACTGAACGACCCTCCTTTCTTTTTTATCCTAGCCGATCCATCGAAACTGGCTACCAGCAACTCCTCATCTGTTTCCACCGTTGGAGGAGGCATCGATATTTTGAGTCGACAGTCTTTTCGTGGGGAGATCGCAATCAGCATCTCTTCCACCTCTCCTCTCGGAGTGATACTCGCTGCTAACATGCCCAGGATTTCTTCCTCTCCTCTTTCACATTTCTTCACCTCCATAGTCCAATTTGACAACAAAGCAGCCCACCGTCCTAATCTCCCGTTGAGCCCTCGAGACTGCATCAACCAGGCTAACGTAGAATGTCGGGTCAGTACAGTGATCTCCCGCGAGGCAAGCGTAGTATAGCATACATCCAACACACGAAGTAGCGCCAGCACTTCTTTTCTACCATTCCGTAGTTAAGCTCATTAGGCTTTAAAGTGCGGCTAGTAAACGTCACCGGATGGTACACGCCATCGTACTCCTGTATCAGGGCCGCTGAGACAGCCCACTTGCTAGCGTAGACCACGATTACGGGGGACCGATCTGGGTCGAAATGCTTGAGCATGGGAGCTGTAGCTATCTTAGCTTTTAGCATAGTGAAAGCAACCTTGGCTTCCGTCCATCGACCCTCGTTGGAGCATTCGTCTCCTGCTGCAAGCTGAGATCGGCCGATCTCGAAGAAATCCGATTCTCTTAACTCATACAACACCGCGGCATACACCGCGAAATCCTCAATGAAGCGACGGTAGTAGTTCAAGCTCCCGAGAAAGGATTGCATAGCTCGTAGCGTGCTAGGAAACGGGATGTTAACCAACGACTCTAGGTTCTTGGGCTGAGCCTCCAGACCATCCATCGACACTCGATGTCCCAAATAATCGACCTTACGGCACCCCCAAAAACTCTTCGTGAGGCTGATAGACAGATTCCACTTATCACATGCCTCCAGCAACCGTTCTACTTTTGTGTACAAAGATCCCCATGACGCGGCTGGTATGAGAATATCGTCAATGTAAGATCGGCGTCCCAGTATAGACGGTCGTCGATCTGTCTCAGGTTCTCCATCTTTGAACACGTCGATCGGGCCATCAGAAGCTGATCTCTGGCCGATCTTGAGATATCCATACAACGCATTGTCCACCAGACGTTGGTAGATCTGGGGCGCGTTCTTAAGCCCAAAAGGCATTCGCAGCCACTCGAACAAGCCAAACGGTGTGACAAACGCTGAGATCAGTTTTGCTCGTTCGGTCATTTCGACGACCCAAAATCCACTAGCCATGTCTAGCGAACAGTACCATAGAGCTTTATCCAGATCTTCCAACAGATCGCTGATCAACGGCATGGGATAAACCATCAGACGCGTCAGCTGGTTAACTCTTCGATAATCAATGCAAAGGCGAATATCCACTCCGTTCTTCTTGATGATCACCACTATCGGAGACGCCCAAGGTGACGTGGATGGCTGAACGATTTTGGCTGCTAATAGTCCTTTGATGAGATCTGACAGCTTCTCCCGATATTTGGGTGCGACCGGACGCACTCTTTGCGCTATCGGTGCTGCCCCACCGACATCAATATCACAGATCGCGCCTCGTGCTGCGGGTGGTAGAGCATTACCTTTACCCATGAGGAGGTGACGGCTCTTCCAGATCAGCGATCTGAGCCGTTGTTGATCTGTGGTGAGAGGCACATCGGGATCACCGATCTGAATGTCCTCAATCGTAACTTCTTCCGTAGTCGCCGACATCTCTGGTAGCACGGCCATATGCTGCTCGATATCTTCCGCAAACAAATCTCCGCTCTCGTGGTGATAAACTGGTATTTCTGCAATCTCGACGTCTTCAGTATTTAGCATTATTTCTTCTTTAGGCTCCTTCGTCTCTTCCGGCTGGCCCAATTTCAACAGTCGGTCAGTCGGCTCAGCCTTCGGTAGAGACGATCTGTCACGTAGCCCTTCTTGACCGGTGTCGCGGTCTCCCTTCGTTGCATGTTGGGTACCGATCTCATGACCGTTCTCCATCCGCGATAGTTCGGCTCCCCTGACCGTTACTTCCCTCGCAACTACAGCATCTGCCTTTTGCGAATCGTCATCGTTAGCTTGCGACGTTACCGTGGAGATCGCCGGAGACAGGTTCTGTAACGCATCAGACGGACGTTTCAAGATGCGTTTGGGAGCGGCATACGTAGGACGATCTACCAATGGTCCGATCGGTTCTTTCGGGAGTTCGTTCACTCGATCCGTTGTAGCCTCATATGCCAGAGTTTGCCATTCCTTGTACTTCCCCGACCCGACTGTCACCAAACCTTGGGTCCGCGGTACCATATCGCCTTCGACCCACATGCCTAATATAGTGTGGGTGGGCAGTATGATCTCCCGGTCGCCAATGTTGGTCATCTGCAGGTATTTCGTCTTACCCCACCCCGAGATCACAGTGGGGACCCAATCTAGTCCTCTAGCGACCCACAACTTCATCTTAGCCCCTCCGATCCCGATCTTCACTTCCCTTGACTCTCCGACCGGGATCACCACGTGTTGGTCCTTCGCCGTTATATGTTGTATCTTCGATCCGTACGCGGGGCGACGTCCTGCGAGATGAATGCGGATTTCTTCTGGTAGACATAGCGCGCCATCCGCTAGATCGAGCCGCACTCCAGCAGGCACCATAAAATCCATACCCAGAATCGCTTCTTGCCCTGCCAGATCGCCTACCCATACATTGAAATAGTATACCAGCGATCCCGCGAGGGTCACCTTGATCTTGGTACGTCCTACCGTCATGTACGGAGTTTCTCCAATCCCGATACATTCTTGTCGTTGACTTTCGTCAATATTGCAACCGACCTCACGAGCAAAGGTGGTGTCAATGATCGACACTTCAGCACCAGAATCAAATAACAGAGTAGCTTTTACGTTGTTGATCTTGCCAACGGCTTTCGCTTGTTTGAACCACTTCCCGGGTGAATAATGTTTCCAGTATCCGCGAGATTCACCATAAGCGAGCTCGATCTCCATAGCTGGTTCAGATCGTGAGTACTCATCGATCCGCTTCAGATGGGACACGGAAGCGACACGTTTTAACTTCGAACGAGATATATTTGTTTCCACGTCAATATCCTGCTTACTCTCGCGATCTGTCTTCTTTTTTTCCACGTATGCAATAATGCAGAGCCCAGAACGCTCGGCTCGTACCAGATTCAAACCTGGCGAGCGTCCTAGTTTAACATCTTCTCGGCCTTCTCTGGTAGCATCCCCGCATGCTTATTCGGGACGTACCACTGACGGATCATGTTGTAGAACTCCTCCATGGGACACTTCCCCGGGTCGTGCATCTCACCGCAAGCACGACACACGAAAAAACAATTGTCAGAGGGGTGTCCTTTACGCCCACACTTCTGGCAAGTGAGCCGCTTCCAGCAACCGAGATCTCCATGCTTGGTCGATCCGCAATGAGTACACGGCTTCAATGGCATATTGCGATCTTGATAGTCTTGACGAGTGTTCGGGTCGACCGATCTCGCGTTTGCTGCAACGTCATTGGGGGATGAACGGCGATCCGCAGTAGCAGCCACATGGATCGATCTCAATCGATCTTCCAAATCCGATCCGCAGGTGTCCGATCCTGACTCGCTGCAGACGTCCTCGGTACGGACCATCCTTACCGCTCGTGCAGGCTTAGACAGCGCTGGACCCTGAGTTCCCTTCTGCCTGAATTTGGACGATCCCATCATCACTTTCCCTTGACGCGATCTCCCTTGTTGATATCCGTGCAGTGTCTTTTGCATGGCCTCCGCGTCTTCTACATTCAGCAGTAGCAATTGATTGGACAGATCGGGGTCGTCCAAGGTGTCAATGAAATGATTGACATGTTCCTTGCGCGCAGCTGGCAATCCAGTCATCACCGGTATCTTCGCCTGCATTCCCATCACATTAAGCCGATACAGGTACTGTAAAGGATCTTCCTCCGATCGTTTCTTTGCATGGTAGTATTGCCTGCTCGCGGACATCCCGTGTCCCGCATACTCCACAAGAAAACTGTTCATCAATTCTTTCCAATTGAATCTCGTCGATCTACTCAGCTGTCGGTACCAGTAGCGGGCTGGGCCCACCATGAGATCACCGAAGACCAGACATCTCTCCTCGTCCGGTGCTTGGTCCCGGATAAACGCTGATTTCACTTTGCCGATCCAGGTCCGTGCTTTGTCTTCTTCCCGATCCTTCCCTGAGAATTCTTTCAGCTCAGAAATCGCTGAGATTCTGATCCTCTGCGTGATGTTTCCCCCTCCGGTAGTCGCACCGGTCGCGGCTACTTGAGGGCGCCGTGGTTCGGGCATCCATAGATCATCCGGGTCGTATTCCGCCGCCTCATGGATATGTTGGTAAATGTCCGACCCCACCGACTCCATCTCCACATCCGGCATGTCAAGGCTTTCGTGTGAAGGTTGGAGCAAAGTACGTCGATCTGGGTAGCGGTTTGGCTGTCGATTCATTCGCTGAGCTGTACGTTGCTCCGCCTCGTACTTCTTCATGGCTGAATTGAAGTACCGACTTAGATCGCCCTCTTCTTGATCCTCCAGCCCAGTGCGGGTACTGGCCGATCTCTGCGGCATGTTGCTCTTGGCTTGTCCCTTATAGGCGTCGATCTTGGCTTGTCCGATCTTGTCCTTTAAGAACCTTCCACCCGATGGTCCTAGAGACATCTGACGAATGCTGATGGATCCATCTGACTCGCTCTCGGAGTCATCCGAGGCGTAGCGGGGCGATCCCGCGGGGTGTTTACAGAGCGAGCCCGAGGGCGTCCCGATCTTGTCTTCAGGAGTATTCGCTTTGCCCACCAGCATTATCATGATCTCTACAAACTCATTCGCCGCGTCCTTCAACTGTTCCAAGCTGCAACTCAGCAGTTCATCTCCATCAAAAGCGTCAGGGCAGATACCCATGTCGTCCAACATCTGCAAAATCACATTGATCTCGTCGACTTTGTTGGTCCCGTGAAGTGGGACCGAGATCGGCTTATCCAGAGGACCAATCACCTTGGGCCTTAACATCTTGAACACTGGGTCCGTCTTGAGCAGCGTCTTCAACTGGCCATAATAGTACTGCCATTTTGCACGCTCCCGCGCTTCACCCGTCGTCTCCTTCTCCATGGACGCGATCTTTATTGGGTTATATTCCGTCTTTGGCATCGCGATCTTATCTGGTGTTTCATCGTATTCCTCTTTGGCTCCGATCTTCGATTGCACGGTTCGGCCGATCTGGCGATCTTTGACATCTGATCCCATCGATCTCGTCGCGGATCGTTCTGATGTGGTCGATCTCGCGATTGTGCTCTTCGGCTTGAGGTCGGGCGATCTATCGACTAAGATATAGGGTTTGGCTTTCGCCGATTTGGTTTTCACCGTTGGATTTTCATCCAGCAGATCGCTCTTTGCAAGAGCGATCTGCGGTGGCCCCCGAAGGGACCCTAGGAGGGAATTGAGGTTTATCTTCCAGATCGATCTCTCGATCTTCCTCTTTCATTTTCATTTCATCAGAGCCCCTCCCAAAACTCTGATGATCTGAGGATCTTGTGCTTCTGCGTGTCTGCGTCGATCCCTTTGTCGCTGACACTTCAATCCCAGGTTCTTGCTTAATCTTGACATCTTCGCCAGTGGACTCACGGTGAAATCCAGAGGCCTCAGAAGATCCGGGCACGCGCACCATTGTGGTGAAGTCGATCTCACAAAATTGCTTGTATGAGTGTCGATCTTCCACTTGCCCAGACTTGCCGACTCACGGAGGGGGTACTCCGATCCGTGCCTTGTTGTATGACCTTGTGCTCACCTTGTGTACCCGTCGGTTGGGCTGGCTTGAGCTCTTCGTAACGGCCTTGGGAGATGTCGATCTCGCTGAGAGGTTGGGTTGAGGGTTCGCTTCCGGTGCGGAAATCTTCACACCACGAACGGGGGTTCTGCGATCCCGATCTTGGATCGCACCGATCTTGATTTGTCTTCGAGATCGGGGTCTTTGCTGTGCGGAAATCTTCACTCAGCAAATAAAAGTCCTGCGTCGATCTTGCCTTGGGATCGGTCCGATCTGGTCTTGGGATTGGCCGATCTTGCCGGAAGTGCGCAATTTGGGTAGATCGGTGTCTTGTTTCGCCAAAATGAAACGTGCCGATCTGTCCGGGGGATCGCTTCGATCCTGCTCGGTCTTGTCTTGAACGCCTTGTCCAGATCTTCTGACCACTTGAGCCGTCTCGCGATCCTGTGTCCAAAATCCTTTTCCTTTTCCGTTGTGTGCTGCTACCCTAGCAGTTGAGTTGAGTGTGAGTACTTGATCGATCCGGGCCAGATATCCCGGGATCGCTCTTCTCGATCTTGGCCAACAATCCAAGATCGGTCTTCTGTGTCCCTGTAACACGCGTGCCTTAACCCGCCGGGGAAGCCAAATCAATCTTGCCTGGAGAAGAGGGGAGGATAACGTGCGTCGTGAGCAGAAGAAGTAGAGTTCAAGTCTGTTTATTAACCAACCAAATTACTATCCAACCTACCCTTAAGCCTATTTTTAACTGTAGGTCACTCTTCAAACCGATATCGCCTTGAATCTGGATCGCCCCCTTGCCACGTGTCGAAATTTCGTGCCCTGTACTCCAATGATAGCGCCAATATTCCCGATACCGTACCTGAACGCCAAAAGAGGACCAAATCCCAAATGGGGTACCAAATACCCATTTTTGGTACCCAAAAGCCCAAAATAGTGCCCAAATGCCGAAGGCGTCTAAATCCATTTTGCGACGTCAATTCGGACAGCTTCCACTGGCTCTTTCGGCATGAAACTTCTTGACATCACTCAGTGACCTCTACCAAGTATATTCCACATGATCCAGTGTTTTCATCAACCATATTTTCATGATCAGTGTGGAACATGACCGATCTGTCATCCAATATCGAGATGTTGGAGGTCGATCCGGTCTAAATCGGCAATTAACACTTTTTCATCTCCTCATACGTGCTTCAATATCATCCACCAGTGTTATCCAATCGACCACTTCATTCATACGTCTCAACATCGGTTTCCTTGACTCCCCTGAGTATGCAAAACTTCCAGATCGGCGTATAATTAACCAAAATCAGTACTCCCAATTTAGGATCGGTAAAGAGTATCACCGATCCGTATGGTGTTGCACCTTCTTTGCCGATTCACCGACCTGTACCACCTGGTCCCAGATGCACTTTGGGGGAGTCACCTTGTCCCAGATGTGTCAATTCTCCAACAAACCGTTGCCACAACATGCCGATCTGCGATCTGATCTTAGCCTGCTTCAATGTACGTATACTTCTTCTTGACCGGCATTCCAATGAGCTGTATGACTTCATCTCGACGTCTGGTTCCAAATCGCCCCATAACATTCTGCAAGGTACGTTACACCTTCGTCGCAGAGTCATATCCCATCACCCGGTCCCAGATCCTTGTCCCAGATTGTTCCATGTAAATCGTTCCAGATCGCTCCGTCCCAGGTCGATTCATACCCATTAGTCTAACGACAGTTGGATCGGTTCGCCGATCCCGTTAAGATCATCTTCCACCTCCGTATTGGATCGCCGAGTTTCATGGCCTCCTTTTCCACCAGTAAGCGGCGCTTTAAAGGTGTGGCCACCGATCCTCGTACAAAATTTGAGTAGTGACTTTGCCACAGTGCCGCGATGAAGATTTTGCACAAAGACTCTGAGCAAGTGATGGCAATGGCGGAACTTGTAGACGGAATTGACTGTCTTCTTACACTGCAAAGATCCGTGAATGATACATTGCGATCAAGAGACGAAGATCATCAAGCGCGTATGGGCCACACACCAACTGAGGTCCTACACAGGATGGTTTCCAAGAACATGATCAAGGATGTCAAGATACCACCAAGATCAAGCAAATCAAGCGTGCGTCGTGGTTGTCAAGAAGAAGAAATGGTGCAGCGACCGTTTCCAAGCATCCCGAACAAGCGTCACTATGATCCATTTGAGTTTCTGCAGATCGACACGTGTAACCCGATGGAAGCCGACTCGTTAGTTGGAGCCAAGTAAATGCTGCTGATAGTAGATGAAGGCAGTGGATGCATGGTGGCTTCAGTCTGGGCGCCAAGTTCGACAGTGAAACGTGCATCAAGAAGTACATCGTGGCGGTCCAGCTGCAGTTTGACTGCACGGTTAAATAAGTTTGGCACAATGTTGCACGTGAGTTTTCGACGCCTTCGCTCAAGGCGTTCTGCGATGATCAAGGAATCGAGCAGCAGGTCACCGTTCCATATGCGCTCTAGACTAATGGCAAAGCAAAACAAGAGATTCGTATCATCGTGACAATCGGCCGCAGCATGCTTCACGACTCAAAACTGGACAAGTGTTTTGGGACGAGGCAGCAATGACGGTGATCTACGTCAAGAATCGCCTGCCTTCGCCGAAGTACCAATGTGGCAAAGTCACTACGCAAATTTTGTACGAGGATCGGTGGCCACACCTTTAAAGCTCCGCTTACTGGTGGAAAAGGAGGCCATGAGACTCGGCGATCCAATACGGAGGTGGAAGATGATCTTAACGGGATCGGCGAACCGATCCAACTGTCGTTAGACTAATGGGTATGAATCGACCTGGGACGGAGCGATCTGGAACGATTTACATGGAACAATATGGGACAAGGATATGAGACCGGGTGATATGATATGACTCTGCGACGAAGGTGTAACATCTTGCAGAATGTTATGGGGCGATCTGGAACCAGACGTCGGGATGAAGTCATACAGCTCATTGGAATGCCGGTCAAGAAGAAGTATACGTACATTGAAGCAGGCTAAGATTAGATCGCAGATCGACATGTTGTGGCAACGGTTTGTTGGAGAATTGACACATCTGGGACAAGGTGACTCCCCAAAGTGCATCTGGGACCAGGTGGTACAGGTCGGTGAATCGGCAAAGAAGGTGCAACACCATACGGATCGGTGATACTCTTTACCGATCCTAAATTGGGAGTACTGATTTTGGTTAATTATACACCGATCTGGAAGTTTTTGCATACTCAGAAGAGTCAAGGAAACCGATGTCGAGACGTATGAATGAAGTTGTCGATTGGATAACACTGGAGGATGATATTGAAGCACGTATGAGGAGATGAAAAAGTGTTAATTGCCGATTTAGACCGGATCGACCTCCAACATCTCGATATTGGATGACAGATCGGTCATTTTCCACACTGATCATGAATATATGGTTGATGAAGACACTGGATCATGTGGAATATACTTGGTAGAGGTCACTAAGTGATGTCAAGAAGTTTCACGCCGAAAGAGCCAGTGGAAGCTGTCCGAATTGACGTCGCAAAATGGATTTAGACGCCTTCGGCATTTGGGCACTATTTTGGGCTTTTGGGTACCTAAAATGGGTATTTGGTACCCCATTTGGGATTTGGTCCTCTTTTGGCGTTCAGGTACGGTATCGGGAATATTGGCGCTATCATTGGAGTACAGGGCACGAAATTTCGACACGTGGCAAGGGGGCGATCCAGATTCAAGGCGATATCGGTTTGAAGAGTGACCTATAGTTAGGAACAGGCTTGAGGATAGGTTGGATAGTAATTTGGTTGGTTAATAAAACAGACTTGAACTCTACTTCTTCTGCTCACGACGCACGTAATCCTCCCCTCTTCTCCAGGCAAGATTGATTTGGCTTCCCCGGCGGGTTAAGGCACGCGTGTTACAGGGACACAGAAGACCGATCTTGGATTGTTGGCCAAGATCGAGAAGAGCGATCCCGGGATATCTGGCCCGGATCGATCAAGTACTCACACTCAACTCAACTGCTAGGGTAGCAGCACACAACGGAAAAGGAAAAGGATTTTGGACACAGGATCGCGAGACGGCTCAAGTGGTCAGAAGATCTGGACAAGGCGTTCAAGACAAGACCGAGCAGGATCGAAGCGATCCCCTGGACAGATCGGCACGTTTCATTTTGGCGAAACAAGACACCGATCTACCCAAATTGCGCACTTCCGGCAAGATCGGCCGATCCCAAGACCAGATCGGACCGATCCCAAGGCAAGATCGACGCAGGACTTTTATTTGCTGAGTGAAGATTTCCGCACAGCAAAGACCCCGATCTCGAAGACAAATCAAGATCGGTGCGATCCAAGATCGGGATCGCAGAACCCCCGTTCGTGGTGTGAAGATTTCCGCACCGGAAGCGAACCCTCAACCCAACCTCTCAGCGAGATCGACATCTCCCAAGGCCGTTACGAAGAGCTCAAGCCAGCCCAACCGACGGGTACACAAGGTGAGCACAAGGTCATACAACAAGGCACGGATCGGAGTACCCCCTCCGTGAGTCGGCAAGTCTGGGCAAGTGGAAGATCGACACTCATACAAGCAATTTTGTGAGATCGACTTCACCACAATGGTGCGCGTGCCCGGATCTTCTGAGGCCTCTGGATTTCACCGTGAGTCCACTGGCGAAGATGTCAAGATTAAGCAAGAACCTGGGATTGAAGTGTCAGCGACAAAGGGATCGACGCAGACACGCAGAAGCACAAGATCCTCAGATCATCAGAGTTTTGGGAGGGGCTCTGATGAAATGAAAATGAAAGAGGAAGATCGAGAGATCGATCTGGAAGATAAACCTCAATTCCCTCCTAGGGTCCCTTCGGGGCCACCGCAGATCGCTCTGCAAAGAGCGATCTGCTGGATGAAAATCCAACGGTGAAAACCAAATCGGCGAAAGCCAAACCCTATATCTTAGTCGATAGATCGCCCGACCTCAAGCCGAAGAGCACAATCGCGAGATCGACCACATCAGAACGATCCGCGACGAGATCGATGGGATCAGATGTCAAAGATCGCCAGATCGGCCGAACCGTGCAATCGAAGATCGGAGCCAAAGAGGAATACGATGAAACACCAGATAAGATCGCGATGCCAAAGACGGAACATAACCCAATAAAGATTGCGTCCATGGAGAAGGAGACGACGGGTGAAACGCAGGAGCGTGCAAAATGGCAGTACTATTATGGCCAGTTGAAGACGCTGCTCAAGACGAACCCAGTGTTCAAGATGTTAAGGCCCAAGGTGATTGGTCCTCTGGATAAGCCGATCTCGGTCCCACTTCACGGGACCAACAAAGTCGACGAGATCAATGTGATTTTGCAGATGTTGGACGACATGGGTATCTGCCCTGACGCCTTTGATGGAGATGAACTGCTGAGTTGCAGCTTAGAACAGTTGAAGGACGCGGCGAACGAGTTTGTAGAGATCATGATAATGCTGGTGGGCAAAGCGAATACTCCTGAAGACAAGATCGGGACGCCCTCGGGCTCGCTCTGTAAACACCCCGCGGATCGCCCCCGCTACGCCTCGGATGACTCCGAGAGCGAGTCAGATGGATCCATCAGCATTCGTCAGATGTCTCTAGGACCATCGGGTGGAAGGTTCTTAAAGGACAAGATCGGACAAGCCAAGATCGACGCCTATAAGGGACAAGCCAAGAGCAACATGCCGCAGAGATCGGCCAGTACCCGCACTGGGCTGGAGGATCAAGAAGAGGGCGATCTAAGTCGGTACTTCAATTCAGCCATGAAGAAGTACGAGGCGGAGCAACGTACAGCTCAGCGAATGAATCGACAGCCAAACCGCTACCCAGATCGACGTACTTTGCTCCAACCTTCACACGAAAGCCTTGACATGCCGGATGTGGAGATGGAGTCGGTGGGGTCGGACATTTACCAACATATCCATGAGGCGGCGGAATACGACCCGGATGATCTATGGATGCCCGAACCACGGCGCCCTCAAGTAGCCGCGACCGGTGCGACTACCGGAGGGGGAAACATCACGCAGAGGATCAGAATCTCAGCGATTTCTGAGCTGAAAGAATTCTCAGGGAAGGATCGGGAAGAAGACAAAGCACGGACCTGGATCGGCAAAGTGAAATCAGCGTTTATCCGGGACCAAGCACCGGACGAGGAGAGATGTCTGGTCTTCGGTGATCTCATGGTGGGCCCAGCCCGCTACTGGTACCGACAGCTGAGTAGATCGACGAGATTCAATTGGAAAGAATTGATGAACAGTTTTCTTGTGGAGTATGCGGGACACGGGATGTCCGCGAGTAGGCAATACTACCATGCAAAGAAACGATCGGAGGAAGATCCTTTACAGTACCTGTATCGGCTTAATGTGATGGGAATGCAGGCGAAGATACCGGTGATGACTGGATTGCCAGCTGCGCGCAAGGAACATGTCAATCATTTCATTGACACCTTGGACGACCCCGATCTGTCCAATCAATTGCTACTGCTGAATGTAGAAGACGCGGAGCCATGCAAAAGACACTGCACGGATATCAACAAGGGAGATCGCGTCAAGGGAAAGTGATGATGGGATCGTCCAAATTCAGGCATAAGGGAACTCAGGGTCCAGCGCTGTCTAAACCCGCACGAGCGGTAAGGATGGTCCGTACCGAGGACGTCTGCAGCGAGTCAGGATCGGACATTTGCGGATCGGATTTGGAAGATCGATTGAGATCGATCCATGTGGCTGCTACTGCGGATCGCCGTTCATCCCTCAATGACGTTGCAGCGAACGCGAGATCGGTCGACCCGAACACCCGTCAAGACTATCAAGACCGCAATATGCCATTGAAGCCGTGTACTCATTGCGGATCGACCAAGCATGGAGATCTCGGTTGCTGGAAGCGGCTCACTTGCCAGAAGTGTGGGCGTAAAGGACACCCCTCTGACAATTGTTTTTTCGTGTGTCGTGCTTGCGGTGAGATGCACGACCCGGGGAAGTGTCCCATGGAGGAGTTCTACAACATGATCCGTCAGTGGTACGTCCCGAATAAGCATGCGGGGATGCTACCAGAGAAGGCCGAGAAGATGTTAAACTAGGACGCTCGCCAGGTTTGAATCTGGTACGAGCCGAGCGTTCTGGGCTCTGCATTATTGCATACGTGGAAAAAAAAGAAGACAGATCGCGAGAGTAAGCAGGATATTGACGTGGAAACAAATATATCTCGTTCGAAGTTAAAACGTGTCGCTTCCGTGTCCCATCTGAAGCGGATCGATGAGTACTCACGATCTGAACCAGCTATGGAGATCGAGCTCGCTTATGGTGAATCTCGCGGATACTGGAAACATTATTCACCCGGGAAGTGGTTCAAACAAGCGAAAGCCGTTGGCAAGATCAACAACGTAAAAGCTACTCTGTTATTTGATTCTGGTGCTGAAGTGTCGATCATTGACACCACCTTTGCTCGTGAGGTCGGTTGCAATATTGACGAAAGTCAACGACAAGAATGTATCGGGATTGGAGAAACTCCGTACATGACGGTAGGACGTACCAAGATCAAGGTGACCCTCGCGGGATCGCTGGTATACTATTTCAATGTATGGGTAGGCGATCTGGCAGGGCAAGAAGCGATTCTGGGCATGGATTTTATGGTGCCTGCTGGAGTGCGGCTCGATCTAGCGGATGGCGCGCTATGTCTACCAGAAGAAATCCGCATTCATCTCGCAGGACGTCGCCCCGCGTACGGATCGAAGATACAACATATAACGGCGAAGGACCAACACGTGGTGATCCCGGTCGGAGAGTCCAGGGAAGTGAAGATCGGGATCGGAGGGGCTAAGATGAAGTTGTGGGTCGCTAGAGGACTAGATTGGGTCCCCACTGTGATCTCGGGGTGGGGTAAGACGAAATACCTGCAGATGACCAACATTGGCGACCGGGAGATCATACTGCCCACCCACACTATATTAGGCATGTGGGTCGAAGGCGATATGGTACCGCGGACCCAAGGTTTGGTGACAGTCGGGTCGGGGAAGTACAAGGAATGGCAAACTCTGGCATATGAGGCTACAACGGATCGAGTGAACGAACTCCCGAAAGAACCGATCGGACCATTGGTAGATCGTCCTACGTATGCCGCTCCCAAACGCATCTTGAAACGTCCGTCTGATGCGTTACAGAACCTGTCTCCGGCGATCTCCACGGTAACGTCGCAAGCTAACGATGACGATTCGCAAAAGGCAGATGCTGTAGTTGCGAGGGAAGTAACGGTCAGGGGAGCCGAACTATCGCGTATGGAGAACGGTCATGAGATCGGTACCCAACATGCAACGAAGGGAGACCGCGACACCGGGCAAGAAGGGCTACGTGACAGATCGTCTCTACCGAAGGCTGAGCCGACTGACCGACTGTTGAAATTGGGCCAGCCGGATGAGACGAAGGAGCCTAAAGAAGAAATAATGCTAAATACTGAAGACGTCGATATTGCAGAAATACCAGTTTATCACCACGAGAGCGGAGATTTGTTTGCGGAAGATATCGAGCAGCATATGGCCGTGCTACCAGAGATGTCGGCGACTACGGAAGAAGTTACGATTGAGGACATTCAGATCGGTGATCCCGATGTGCCTCTCACCACAGATCAACAACGGCTCAGATCGCTGATCTGGAAGAGCCGTCACCTCCTCATGGGTAAAGGTAATGCTCTACCACCCGCAGCACGAGGCGCGATCTGTGATATTGATGTCGGTGGGGCAGCACCGATAGCGCAAAGAGTGCGTCCGGTCGCACCCAAATATCGGGAGAAGCTGTCAGATCTCATCAAAGGACTATTAGCAGCCAAAATCGTTCAGCCATCCACGTCACCTTGGGCGTCTCCGATAGTGGTGATCATCAAGAAGAACGGAATGGATATTCGCCTTTGCATTGATTATCGAAGAGTTAACCAGCTGACGCGTCTGATGGTTTATCCCATGCCGTTGATCAGCGATCTGTTGGAAGATCTGGATAAAGCTCTATGGTACTGTTCGCTAGACATGGCTAGTGGATTTTGGGTCGTCGAAATGACTGAACGAGCAAAACTGATCTCAGCGTTTGTCACACCGTTTGGCTTGTTCGAGTGGCTGCGAATGCCTTTTGGGCTTAAGAACGCGCCCCAGATCTACCAACGTCTGGTGGACAATGCGTTGTATGGATATCTCAAGATCGGCCAGAGATCAGCTTCTGATGGCCCGATCGACGTGTTCAAAGATGGAGAACCTGAGACAGATCGACGACCGTCTATACTGGGACGCCGATCTTACATTGACGATATTCTCATACCAGCCGCGTCATGGGGATCTTTGTACACAAAAGTAGAACGGTTGCTGGAGGCATGTGATAAGTGGAATCTGTCTATCAGCCTCACGAAGAGTTTTTGGGGGTGCCGTAAGGTCGATTATTTGGGACATCGAATGTCGATGGATGGTCTGGAGGCTCAGCCCAAGAACCTAGAGTCGTTGGTTAACATCCCGTTTCCTAGCACGCTACGAGCTATGCAATCCTTTCTCGGGAGCTTGAACTACTACCGTCGCTTCATTGAGGATTTCGCGGTGTACGCCGCGGTGTTGTATGAGTTAAGAGAATCGGATTTCTTCGAGATCGGCCGATCTCAGCTTGCAGCAGGAGACGAATGCTCCAACGAGGGTCGATGGACGAAAGCCAAGTTTTCTTTCACTATGCTAAAAGCTAAGATAGCTACAGCTCCCATGGTCAAGCATTTCGACTCAGATCGGTCCCCCGTAATCGTGGTCTACGCTAGCAAGTGGACTGTCTCAGCGGCCCTGATACAGGAGTACGATGGCGTTTACCATCCGGTTACGTTTACTAGCCGCACTTTAAAGCCTAATGAGCTTAACTACGGAATGGTAGAAAAAGAAGTGCTGGCGCTACTTCGTGTGTTGGATGTATGCTATACTACGCTTGCCTCGCGGGAGATCACTGTACTGACCCGACATTCTACGTTAGCCTGGTTGATGCAGTCTCGAGGGCTCAACGGGAGATTAGGACGGTGGGCTGCTTTGTTGTCAAATTGGACTATGGAGGTGAAGAAATGTGAAAGAGGAGAGGAAGAAATCCTGGGCATGTTAGCAGCGAGTATCACTCCGAGAGGAGAGGTGGAAGAGATGCTGATTGCGATCTCCCCACGAAAAGACTGTCGACTCAAAATATCGATGCCTCCTCCAACGGTGGAAACAGATGAGGAGTTGCTGGTAGCCAGTTTCCATGGATCGGCTAGGATAAAAAAGAAAGGAGGGTCGTTCAGTGCCGTGATATGGAAGTTACCCGAATGGACGATCGTGGTGGCCGAATCGAGATATGTTCACGATCTGACTGTGAATGAAGCTGAGTATAATGGCTTGCTACTGAGCTTTGAGCTACTCGCCGATCTGGATAGGGGGCGAGTAATACTGTGTGGAGATTCCAGTCTGGTGATTCGACAGATGCGCGGTGAGATCGACTGCAAGGCACCGGGCCTTCAGCTTCTGAGACACAAAGCGTTGGAGAAGCTGCAGTCATGGCCTAGTCACGAGTTTCTGCATATGAAGCGAGAGTGGAATCAGAGCGCAGATCGACTAGCCAGCACAGCATTGCAGAGCGAAAAGGGAAGAACGGTTGTAGCTGAAGAGGATCGGCAAGATCTGATGACTCTGAACCGTCTCGATGAATTGTTGAAGCCCAAGCAAGATGGTCAGCTAGCTCGGGTAACTGCGATCGCGAGATCAGCCAGGAGGATACGTCATGAACCTGAAGTGATACAGGAGGAGATAGTACAGAGGATCAGGATTCAACGAATTGTCCAAGCTCAAGATGAAGAGCGTTGGATTGTCAATCTCAAGACATATCTAAGTGGCGATGTATCAAACTTGGATGCGGTAGAAGTGAAGATGTGCGCCAAACTGGCGCCGGATTACGAGATCGATGAGAACAATCTGCTATTTTTTTGCCCCATGGCGAAAAGAGAGTCGGAAGATCGCGATGGTTTGATGCGGTTGGTGATCCCTGAGACGTTGCAGCAGGATTTTTTGCATCACTATCACACGAGTCTGGAAGGAGGCCATCAGGGTATTGGCCGAACCTATCAGAGGATCAGATCGCGATTTCATTGGAGAGGACTGTATCGGAGCGCTCAACGATATGTGGGCGAATGTACCGACTGTGAGACCGGGAAAGGAAACCCGATGATTCATGGGAAATCCCCGGGCAATCTACACGCAACCTATCCATTCCAGATCATCTCCATGGATCATATACCGTCGTTGTCCAAGTCCATCAAGGGGAACACCGAACTGCTCATTTGGGTCGACCTTTTCTCGGGATATGTGATTGCAAAGGCTAGCTCCTCTCGGACGGCACGAACAATGGCGGAGAATTACGAAGAATGTGTGTTTCGACGCTTCGGAGCTAGCGAGGCTATCAGGCACGATCGAGAACCGGGATTTATGTCCGACTTCTTTCGAGCCTTCAGTCGGATCGTAGGACAAAAACAGCGTGCTACTATGGCTTACAGGCCACAAGCAAATGGAACAGCCGAACGAATGGTGCAAACCCTGACACATTCGCTCAAGATGTACGTGGCTGAAGTTGACCAGCGAGACTGGGATGAGTATGCTGAGCGGCTCACCTTTGCCATTAACACTGCACAAGATCGGATCCGGGGGGATAATCCATTTTATCTGATTCATGGGTGGGACCCGCGATCGACTTTGGAGGCTACGCTACCAGTGGGGAATACGGGGACACGAGATCGCGATCCAAAGAGGTGGAGATACAAAATCCAAAGACAATACCAGCGAGCCCGATCTGCAGTGAACGATCGTTTACAAGCCGCGATCCAGGAGCGAGCAGATCGACACAACGAAGGTCTGGAACCACACGAGATCGAAGTAGGAGCGCAAGTTTGGCTATACCTGGACCGAGTTATAGAGGGATATGCGAAGAAGCTAGCGCACATGTGGCATGGGCCATTCCGAGTTGCGGACGTATGTGGAGATCATGCTGTAAAATTGGAGATCGCTGGAACCCCATATCGGTTATTTCCGATTGTACACATATCGAAGCTAAAAAAGGTAAAGACGTTCCCTGAACGTCCGAAGGATCAGCTTACGATAGAGGAATCAGATCGCTTGGATTTCGATGAAGCTCTGCTGCCAGAAGACAGTTGGGATGGCGATCTTAAAGAAGGGGAATACGAAGTAGAGGCAATATTGGACGTGCGATCTGGTAGAAAAACCCGTTATGGGCGAGTACACCGGCAGTTTCTGGTGAAGTGGAAGGGATATCCCGATCTAAGTTGGTTGGACGAGGCCGATCTAAGTTGTGGGGCGATCTTGCAAGAGTTTGAGCGGAACCGAGTGAGTCGAAACCGTTTCGACGTAATGCAGTCTCATGAAGGCAAGTCGGACGAACCTTAACAGTTCGAACAAGTATGCGGGAGGTAGCATATGCGGATGTAGGGGTTGAAAGATGTGCTAGACGGTAGCACATGCTGGTGGATGAGGTTTTTGTATGTGAGTATGGAGATAGTCAAGTGAATTACTTTCCTGAATGATGTGGAGCGAGGAGGATCGTGATCGTGGAAGTTGCAAAGAATGGAAGTACCAAAAAAGAAGACGATTGAATGACTTACACGATTATGAAAGACGATCGGGCTTGGATATCGACCTTGGACTAAGACGATAGAGAAGGTTTGAACTTGTCCTGCAGACGAGGGATCTGCGATCCGGGATGATCTAGATGGCGCGGAGACCCAGGCCAATCGGGGACCGCTGGGTGTGTCCTCCGGATCGGGCGATCTGGGCGACAGGTCGCGATCCGGAGACAGAAACATGGTGGATCCTTCTGAAGAGATCGGCGAGGTGGGTGGATGCGTCGGAGAGGCCATGAGACGGACTTGAGTGCTTGGAACGAAGTTGATGAGTGACTGTACTGAGGTCAATTGCTGTACAAAAGACTTCAGTACAGGGGGCGGTTGTGGCAAAGTCACTACGCAAATTTTGTACGAGGATCGGTGGCCACACCTTTAAAGCGCCGCTTACTGGTGGAAAAGGAGGCCATGAAACTCGGCGATCCAATACGGAGGTGGAAGATGATCTTAACGGGATCGGCGAACCGATCCAACTGTCGTTAGACTAATGGGTATGGATCGACCTGGGACGGAGCGATCTGGAACGATTTACATGGAACAATCTGGGACAAGGATCTGGGACCGGGTGATGGGATATGACTCTGCGACGAAGGTGTAACTGTGGTAAAGTCACTAATCAAATGATGGGACGTGGATCGGTTTCCACCCAGTTAAGATGTCACCCACTGGCGGAAGAGGTACGCCTAGGACCAGGCGATGCAACGTGATTTGAGACGGGGCGTAGAAAGGGGTAATTCCAACGGTGCGATCTGGGACGAGGGACTGGATTGAACCGAACGACCACTCTAAAGGCTGATCAAAGGAAAGGATGTGGATGTTGAAGCAGAATCATTTGAGAAAAGTACGCCTGGGACCAGGCGATGCGACGTGGTTTGAGACGGGGCGTAGCAAGGGGTGATTTCCACGGTGCGATCTGGGATGAGGGACTGGATTGAACCGAACGACCACTCTGTAGGCTGATCAGAGGCAAGGATGTGGATGTTGAAGCAGAATCATTTTGATAAAGCATCGGAGTGCACACAATGAACGGAAGAACATATATGGCCGGATTGTACTGTGTCGATCCTCAACAATCTCGAATTGGGCATCAGATCGGTCATGTTCCCCACTGATTATGGATGTATCGTTGATGAGAATTTTGGATCATGACAAACATGCTTGTTGAAGGTCCATGAGTGATGTCTCAAAAGTTCAGATCGAAAGAGCCAGTGAAAGCCGGTTAAATTGACGTCGCAAAATGGATTTAGACGCCTTCGGCATTTGGGCACTATTTTGGGCTTTTGGGTACCAAAAATGGGTATTTGGTACCCCATTTGGGATTTGGTCCTCTTTTGGCGTTCAGGTACGGTATCGGGAATATTGGCGCTATCATTGGAGTTCCGGGGACGAAATTTCGACACGTGGCAAGGGGGCGATCCAGATTCAAGGCGATATCGGTTTGAAGAGTGACCTATAGTTAAGAATAGGCTTAAGGGTAGGTTGGATAGTAATTTGGTTGGTTAATAAAACAGACTTGAACTCTACTTCTTCTGCTCACGACGCACGTTATCCCCCCCTCTTCTCCAGGCAAGATTGATTTGGCTTCCCCGGCGGGTTAAGGCACGCGTGTTACAGGGACACAGAAGACCGATCTTGGATTGTTGGCCAAGATCGAGAAAAGCGATCCCGGGATATCTGGCCCGGATCGATCAAGTACTCACACTCAACTCAACTGCTAGGGTAGCAGCACACAACGGAAAAGGAAAAGGATTTTGGACACAGGATCGCGAGACGGCTCAAGTGGTCAGAAGATCTGGACAAGGCGTTCAAGACAAGACCGAGCAGGATCGAAGCGATCCCCTGGACAGATTGGCACGTATCATTTTGGCGAAACAAGACACCGATCTACCCAGATTGCGCACTTCCGGCAAGATCGGCCGATCCCAAGACCAGATCGGACCGATCCCAAGGCAAGATCGACGCAGGACTTTTATTTGCTGAGTGAAGATTTCCGCACAGCAAAGACACCGATCTCGAAGACAAATCAAGATCGGTGCGATCCAAGATCGGGATCGCAGAACCCCCGTTCGTGGTGTGAAGATTTCCGCACCGGAAGCGAACCCTCAACCCAACCTCTCAGCGAGATCGACATCTCCCAAGGCCGTTACGAAGAGCTCAAGCCAGCCCAACCGACGGGTACACAAGGTGAGCACAAGGTCATACAACAAGGCACAGATCGGAGTACCCCCTCCGTGAGTCGGCAAGTCTGGGCAAGTGGAAGATCGACACTCATACAAGCAATTTTGTGAGATCGACTTCACCACAGCACCATGGAACATCACTTAAGCTTTGCAGCTCTTATTGATTTGCGGAATTGACAGCAGATTTTTTTGTTCATTCTTGGGACGTTAAGCGCGTTCTTGATCTTGCGCTCTTCACCGTTTTGCGGGACCTTGCCTTTTTCCCATCTACGACCAACGCTTTGCCTTCATTGCTCTCGTCCGGAAATTTGAACTTGTTCTTGTCATGGCAGATGTGTTGCGTCGCACCGCTGCTATTCGCCCACATCCCAGACGTATTCTTGATCGCTGAAATTACGCATTCCAGTGAAACAGCAAACACTACTCGATCGTAGTCGCAGTTGTTGTTGCTGTGGTATCCTTGCCACTGGACTTGATTCGCTCCGCGTCCAGGAGCATTGCTACCGCGTCGAGCTCCCCGATTCTCTTCATTCTGCTTGGTCCAGCAACGTTCCGCTTTTCCCCAATTTACGCAAAACGAGCATCGACGAACCTCGCGCCCGGTACTGAAGGCCTAGGTCACTTCTTCAGTCTTCACCGCCGCAGACTTGACGCTTGATGTGATCGTTCGTCAACACATTGACAGCGTCGCGCAGTTGCAGTTTGCGCTGCTCATCTACAAGTTGAGAACGACGTTCTCGTAGCTCTTGGGGAGACTGCTGCACAAGAAGATCGCTACGTCCTCGTCCTCCATCTTGGCGCCGATGCTGCTGAGCTTCGCTCTGATATTGAGGACTCCATTAAAATGATGCATGACATTGCCGCTTTCCGCTATCTCCATGCTGAACATCTGTCGCTTCAAGTAGGTCCATAAACCGCCTTCTGCGACCTACTATACCGTGTCTTCAAACGCACCCACGCAACTTATGCTATTTTGCTTTCATCAACCACGCGATGAAAGTCGGCGTCCATGTGCAGTAACATCAGTCCGAGCGAACTGTTTTTCGTCTTGATATAATCGTCACTGTCGCGAGTATTCGATAAGGTTGACGTCGTCTCTCGGTTGACCACATGCCACGCCGACTTGGTCTTGGACACGCCAAACATGTAGCGTCTCCACGTCGCGAGCTTGTCCCCATCAAATACTTCAGTAAAGTTTTGATAGAGATCTTGGTAATGGAATCTTGTGCAGAGGAAAGCTTGCTTGGGTACATAACCTAATAAAATCTGACGAGCGCTGGGCGAGGATACAAAGCTTGAAGAAAGCTAAAGAAGTCTACACCACAAAGTGAAGACGACTTGTGCTGAAGAAGGAACGTTTAGAAGTGATTGATTTATAGGTATCAACTCTGTCTACGCTTGACTGCATCCAATCCCATGGTGCATTTAATCAACCTGAGTTACACGCGTCCAATCATCCTACGCGTCTAACCAACTCTGAAGTAATCACCGACATAAAAACTATTTCGTATGCACCACGCTCGAGTATCGGATTGTACCAGTAACCTTCAATGCACACCCTCAATGCACACTCTCAAAGCAAACATGCGTGAATGTCGAGAGCCGCCGTCATGTCTTTGTGGCGTGGTCCTAGTAGTCCCTTCGTCACGGTGTCCGCCAATCTATTCGTCGTCTCACAAGATTCCAGCCTGACTTCCCCGCGCTTATCCTCATTACGGATGTAATGGTACTTGATTTTGATGTGCTTGGCTTGGCTTGGCCATGGATCACCGAGTCCTTCGTCATCTTGATGGAGGACTGGTTGTCTTCCGTAATCTTGAGCTCGGACTTGTCTGCTGTGGTAACCAGAAAATTTTCGCGCAGCAAGCAATGCACCCACTTGCCTTCTTGAATAGCCAGACTTAGAGCGATATACTCGGCTTCACTTGTTGACAATTACACACTTGGTTGCTTCTTGCTACCCCAGCTCACCGGAGCACACATGATCATGAATGCGTCTCTCTAAGTAGACTTGCGGTCCACATGGTCGCCAGCCCAGTCTGCATCCGAGTAGCCGTAGAAGTCCATCTTGTCGTCGAGTTTGGAGCAGATGCCGTGCGATTTGGATCCATGCAAGTATTGCACAATACGCTTGACCGACATCCAGTGCTCGACTTGCGGTTTCTTCATGAAGCGCGAAACATAGCTCACAGTAAAGGCAATGCCCGGTCGTGTCGCGGTCGTGAAGTGTATTAAGGCACCCACTGCTTGATGAAACGGAGCGTCGATATTGGTCGCTGCGTTACTTGGTGGAGTCGAGTGGTGATGTCCGTTGAGCTGATGACAGCTTTGCGATATCTCATGCCGAACCGCTTCAGAACATCGTCAACGTAGCGTCGCTGGCACATCGTCACGCTGCATTCATCCTTTCCCGTCTCGATACCCAACACAAAAGAACACTTGCCTCTGTCAGTCATCTCGAAATGCGACTTCAAGTCGTACGGGCAATCATTTCGGTCGAGCTGCCAGTCACCAAAACATCATCGACGTAGACAAGCAAACACGCACTGTCCGCTTGCTACCTTGACATAGATGCATGGATCAAAGTCGAAAGCTTGAAATCTGATAGAGCAGACGAGCTCATGGAAAGTTTCTTTCCATACCCGTGAAGCTTGTTCAGTCTGTAGATTGCTTTCACCATCTCGAAGCAGTCCAAATTTACATTGACTTCTACACCCTCTAAGACCGCGCAGAACACTGGTCCCTTTATTTCACCATGCAGATAAGTTGTCACCACATCTAGTTGTTCCATCGTCCAGTAAGTACTCGTGATCACTATCACCATGCGAAGCGTCACATAATTGACGCCTGGCGAGAACGTCTCCGTGAAGTCAGTGTCATTTCTTGTCTTGAACCCTTATGCCACGAGACGCGCCTTGTACTTTTCAATCGATTCATCAGCCTCGCGCTTGATCTTAAACACCCACTTGGTACCAATGGTGTGCTGTCCCGCTGGCAGCTTGGTCCCTCGAACCGCACCACGTAGCTTCATTGAGTCCAACTCGGCGCAAATCGCATTGCGACAATGAACTTGATCCGGACCACTACCCGCATGTTGAAACGTTGTCGGCTCGGACAAGTCAGTAGCTTTGGCTGCATTGGCACTTGCTTGCCAGAAGACTAGAGGAGAGTCGTCATCGTCATCTTCATCGCCGCCTTTTTGCTCTTCGTCCAGATTGGCGCGAGTTCTTTAGCGCCGTTTCGCTTGAAGCGACTCAAAATCATCTGGTGCACTTGCTTCTTCCGACCCGGTTCCACTGCGATTAGGAAGTGTCCGTTGATAGACTTTTTCATGGCAGTTGGAACGGCTCTTTCGCTTTCTATTGTGCTTGAACTGCATGGTGCAAAGCTCATCACTGGTGTCCATCGCGTCGAAGTCCAGCGCAGTGTCATCGACAACTTCTTGCGGCAGTGCCCGTGATATTCCAAACGTTGATTCGTCAAAGGTGGCATCACGCGATACTACCACTTGATCTGCTTTAATTTCGTAAATGCGGTATACTTTCAACACTTCTTTGTAACCCATGAACATCCTTCTCAAGTCTTCGGGTCCCACTTCGATCGCTTTTCTTTGGGGTCAACACGAACGCTCGGTATTCAAAAAATCGCATGTGCTTCACAATTGGCCGCAACCTTTAATGAAATTGAACGGAGTTCAGTCTTGGTAGTTGGGGAAGACTTCGATCGCTTTTCTTTGTGGTCAGCACGAACGCTCGGTATTAAAAAAACTCGCATGTGCTTCACACTTGGCCGCAACCTTTGATGATCTCGAACGGAGTTCAGTCTCGGTACTTCGGCGAAGGCAGGCGATTCTTGACGTAGATCGCCGTCATTACTGCCTCGGCCCAAAAACACTCGTCCAGTTTTGAGTCGTGGAGCATGCTGCGGACGATTGTCCCGATGATACGAATCTCTTGTTTTGCTTTGCCGTTAGTCTAGTGCGCATGTGGAACGGTGACCTGCTTCTCGATTCCTTGATCATTGTAGAATGCCTTGAGCGAAGGAGTCGCAAACTCACGTGCACCATTGTGCCGAGCATATTTAATCGTGCAGTCATACTGCATCTGGACCGCCACGATGTACTTCTTGATGCACGTTTCACTGTCGAACTTGGCGCGCAGACTGAAGCCCTTCATGCATCCACTGCCTTCATCTACTATCAGCAGCAATTACTTGGCTCCAACTAACGATCCGGCTTTCAGCGGGCTGTACGTGTCGATGTGCAGAGGCTCAAACGGATCATAGTGACGCTTGTTCGGGATGCTTGGAAACGGTTGCTGCACCATTTCTTCTTCTTGACAACCACGACGCACGCTTGATTCGCTTGATCTTGGTGGTATCTTGACATCCTTGATCATGTTCTTGGAAACCATCCTGTGTAGGACCTCAGTTGGTGCGTGGCCCATACGCGCATGATGATCTTCGTCTCTTGATCGCAATGTAGCATTCACGGATCTTTGCAGTGAACGAAGCCAGTCGATTCCGTCTACAAGTTCCGCCATTGCCATCACTTGCTCAGAGTCTTTGTGTAAAATCTTCATCCCGGCACCATGGAACATCACTTGAGCTTTGCAGCTCTTATTGATTTGCGGAATTGACAGCAGATTTTTTTGTTCATTCTTGGGACGTAAAGCGCGTTCTTGATCTTGCGCTCTTCACCGTTTTGCGGGACCTTGCCTTGTTCCCATCTACGACCAACGCTTTGCCTTCATTGCGCTCGTCCGGAAATTTGAACTTGTTCTTGTCATGGCAGATGTGTTGCGTCGCACCGCTGCTATTCGCCCATATCCCAGACGTATTCTTGATCGCTAAAATTACGCATTCCAGTGAAACAGCAAACACTACTCGATCGTAGTCGCAGTTGTTGTTGCTGTGGTATCCTTGCCACTGGACTTGATTCGCTCCGCGTCCAGGAGCATTGCTACCGCGTCGAGCTCCCCGATTCTCTTCCTTCTGCTTGGTCCAGCAACGTTCCACTTTCCCCAGTTTCCGCAGAACGAGCATCGACGAACCTCGCGCCCGGTACTGAAGGCCTTGGTCACTTCTTCAGTCTTCACCGCCGCAGACTTGGCACCTTGACGCTTCATGTGATCGTTCGTCAACACGTTGACAGCGTCGCGCAGTTGCAGTTTGCGCTGCTCATCTACAAGTTGAGAACGACGTTCTCGTAGCTCTTGGGGAGACTGCTGCACAAGAAGATCGCTACGTCCTCGTCCTCCATCTTGGCGCCGATGCTGCTGAGCTTCGCTCTGATGTTGAGGACTCCATTACAGTGATGCATGACATTGCCGCTTTCCGCTATCTCCATGCTGAACAGCTGTCGCTTCAAGTAGGTCCATAAACCGCCTTCTGCGACCTACTATACCGTGTCTTCAAACGCACGCACGCAACTTATGCTATTTTGCTTTCATCAACCGTGATGAAAGTCGGCGTCCATGTGCAGTAACATCAGTCCGAGCGAACTGTTTTTCGTCTTGATATAATCGTCACTGTCGCGAGTATTCGATAAGGTTGACGTCGTCTCTCGGTTGACCACATGCCACGCCGACTTGGTCTTGGACACGCCAAACATGTAGCGTCTCCACGTCGCGAGCTTGTCCCCATCAAATACTTCAATGAAAATTTTGATGGAGATCTTGGTAATGGAATCTTGTGCAGAGGAAAGCTTGCTTGGGTACATAACCTAATAAAATCTGACGAGCGCTGGGCGAGGATACAAAGCTTGAAGAAAGCTAAAGAAGTCTACACCACAAAGTGAAGACGACTTGTGCTGAAGAAGGAACGTTTAGAAGTGATTGATCTACAGGTATCAACTCTGCCTACGCTTGACTGCATCCAATCCCATGGTGCATTTAATCAACCTGAGTTACACGCGTCCAATCATCCTACGCGTCTAACCAACTCTGAAGTAATCACCGACATAAAAACTATTTCGTATGCACCACGCTCGAGTATCGGATTGTACCAGTAACCTTCAATGCACACCCTCAATGCGCACTCTCAAAGCAAACATGCGTGAATGTCGAGAGCCGCCGTCATGTCTTTGTGGCGTGGTCCTAGTAGTCCCTTCGTCATGATGTCCGCCAATCTATTCGTCGTCTCACAAGATTCCAGCCTGACTTCCCCGCGCTTATCCTCATTACGGATGTAATGGTACTTGATTTTGATGTGCTTGGCTTGGCTTGGCCATGGATCACCGAGTCCTTCGTCATCTTGATGGAGGACTGGTTGTCTTCCGTAATCTTGAGCTCGGACTTGTCTGCTGTGGTAACCAGAAAATTTTCGCGCAGCAAGCAATGCACCCACTTGCCTTCTTGAATAGCCAGACTTAGAGCGATATACTCGGCTTCACTTGTTGACAATTACACACTTGGTTGCTTCTTGCTACCCCAGCTCACCGGAGCACACATGATCATGAATGCGTCTCTCTAAGTAGACTTGCGGTCCACATGGTCGCCAGCCCAGTCTGCATCCGAGTAGCCGTAGAAGTCCAGCTTGCCGCCGAGTTTGGAGCAGATGCCGTGCGATTTGGATCTATGCAAGTATTGCACAATACGCTTGACCGACATCTAGTGCTCGACTTGCGGTTTCTTCATGAAGCGCGAAACATAGCTCACAGTAAAGACAATGCCCGGTCGTGTCGCGGTCGTGAAGTGTATTAAGGCACCCACTGCTTGATGAAACAGAGCGTCGATATTGGTCGCTGCGTTACTTGGTGGAGTCGAGGGGTGATGTCCGTTGGGCTGATGACAGCTTTGCAATTGCTCATGCCGAACCGCTTCAGAACATCGTCAACGTAGCGTCGCTGGCACATCGTCACGCTGCATTCATCCTTTCCCGTCTCGATACCCAACACAAAAGAACACTTGCCTCTGTCAGTCATCTCGAAATGCGACTTCAAGTCGTACGCGCAATCATTCCGGTCGAGCTGCCAGTCACCAAAACATCATCGACGTAGACAAGCAAACACGCACTGTCCGCTTGCTACCTTGACATAGATGCATGGATCAAAGTCGGACGCTTGAAATCCGATAGAGCAGACGAGCTCATGGAAAGTTTCTTTCCATACCCGTGAAGCTTGTTCAGTCTGTAGATTGCTTTCACCATCTCGAAGCAGTCACAGTCTACATTGACTTCTACACCCTCTGGGACCGCGCAGAACACTGGTCCCTTTATTTCACCATGCAGATAAGTTGTCACCACATCTAGTTGTTCCATCGTCCAGTAAGTACTCGTGATCACTATCACCATGCGAAGCGTCACATACTTGACGCCTGGCGAGAACGTCTCCGTGAAGTCAGTGTCATTTCTTGTCTTGAACCCTTATGCCACGAGACGCGCCTTGTACTTTTCGATCGATTCATCAGCCTCGCGCTCGATCTTAAACACCTACTTGGTACCAATGGTGTGCTGTCCAGCTGGCAGCTTGGTCCCTCGAACCACACCACGTAGCTTCATTGAGTCCAACTCGGCGCAAATCGCATTACGACAATGAACTTGATCCGGACCACTACCCGCGTGTTGAAACGTTGTCAGCTCGGACAAGTCAGTAGCTTTGGCTGCATTGGCACTTGCTTGCCAGAAGACTAGAGGAGAGTCGTCATCGTCATCTTCATCACCGCCTTTTCGCTCTTCGTCCAGATTGGCGCGAGTTCTTTAGCGCCGTTTCGCTTGACGCGACTCAAAATCATCTGGTGCACTTGCTTCTTCCAACCCGGCTCCACTGCGATTAGGAAGTGTCCGTTGATAGACTTTTTCATGGCAGTTGGAACGGCTCTTTCGCTTTCTATTGTGCTTGAACTGCATGGTGCAAAGCTCATCACTGGTGTCCATCGCGTCGAAGTCCAGCGCAGTGTCATCGACAACTTCTTGCGGCAGTGCCCGTGATAATCCAAACGTTGGTTCGTCAAAGGTGACATCACGCGATACTACCACTTGATCTGCTTTAATTTCGTAAATGCGGTATACTTTCAACACTTCTTTGTAACCCATGAACATCCTTCTCAAGTCTTCGGGTCCCACTTCGATCGCTTTTCTTTGGGGTCAACACGAACGCTCGGTATTCAAAAACTCGCATGTGCTTCACAATTGGCCGCAACCTTTAATGAAATTGAACGGAGTTCAGTCTTGGTAGTTGGGGAAGACTTCGATCGCTTTTCTTTGTGGTCAGCACGAACGCTCGGTATTAAAAAACTCGCATGTGCTTCACACTTGGCCGCAACCTTTGATGATCTCGAACGGAGTTCAGTCTTGGTACTTCGGCGAAGGCAGGCGATTCTTGACGTAGATCGCCGTCATTGCTGCCTCGTCCCAAAAACACTCGTCCAGTTTTGAGTCGTGAAGCATGCTGCGGCCGATTGTCACGATGATCCGAATCTCTTGTTTTGCTTTGCCGTTAGTCTAGTGCGCATGTGGAACGGTGACCTGCTTCTCGATTCCTTGATCATCGTAGAACGCCTTGAGCGAAGTCGATGCACACTCACGTGCACCATTGTGCCGAACTTATTTAACCGTGCAGTCAAACTGCAGCTGGACCGCCACGATGTACTTCTTGATGCACGTTTCACTGTCGAACTTGGCGCGCAGACTGAAGCCCTTCATGCATCCACTGCCTTCATCTACTATCAGCAGCAATTACTTGGCTCCAACTAACGAGTCGGCTTCCATCGGGCTCGCACGTGTCGATGTGCAGAAGCTCAAACGGATCATAGTGACGCTTGTTCGGGATGCTTTGAAACGGTTGCTGCACCATTTATTCTTCTTGACAACCACGACGCACGCTTGATTCGCTTGATCTTGGTGGTATCTTGACATCCTTGATCATGTTCTTGGAAACCATCCTGTACAGGACCTCAGTTGGTGCGTGGCCCATACGCGCATGATGATCTTCGTCTCTTGATCGCAATGTAGCATTCACGGATCTTTGCAGTGTACGAAGCCAGTCGATTCCGTCTACAAGTTCTGCCATTGCCATCACTTGCTCAGAGTCTTTGTGTAAAATCTTCATCCCGGCACCATGGAACATCACTTAAGCTTTGCAGCTCTTATTGATTTGCGGAATTGACAGCAGATTTTTTTGTTCATTCTTGGGACGTAAAGCGCGTTCTTGATCTTGCGCTCTTCACCGTTTTGCGGGACCTTGCCTTGTTCCCATCTACGACCAACGCTTCGCCTTCATTGCGCTCGTCCGGAAATTTGAACTTGTTCTTGTCATGGCAGATGTGTTGCGTCGCACCGCTGCTATTCGCCCGTATCCCAGACGTATTCTTGATCGCTGAAATTACGCATTCCAGTGAAACAGCAAACACTACTCGATCGTAGTCGCAGTTGTTGTTGCTGTGGTATTTTAGCCACTGGACTTGATTCACTCCGCGTCCAGGAGCATTTCTACCGCGTCGAGCTCCCCGATTCTCTTCCTTCTGCTTGGTCCAGCAACGTTCCACTTTTCTCCAATTTCCGCAGAACGAGCATCGACGAACCTCGCGCTCGGTACTGAAGGCCTTGGTCACTTCTTCAGTCTTCGCCGCCGCAGACTTGGCACCTTGATGCTTCATGTGATCGGTCGTCAACACGTTGACAGCGTCGCGCAGTTGCAGTTTGCGCTGCTCATCTACAAGTTGAGAACGACGTGCTCGTAGCTCTTGAGGAGACTGCTTCACAAGAAGATCGCTACGTCCTCGTCCTCCATCTTGGCGCCGATGCTGCTGAGCTTCGCTCTGATGTTGAGGACTTTATTACAGTGATGCATGACATTGCCGCTTTCCGCTATCTCCATGCTGAACAGCTGTCGCTTCAAGGAGGTCCATAAACCGCCTTCTGCGACCTACTATACAGTGTCTTCAAACGCACGCACGCAACTTATGCTATTTTGCTTTCATCCACCATATGATGAAAGTCGGCGTCCATGCGCAGTAACATCAGTCCGAGCGAACTGTTTTTCGTCTTGATATAATCGTCACTGTCGCGAGTATTCGATAAGGTTGACGTCGTCTCTCGGTTGACCACATGCCACGCCGACATGGCCTGGAACACGCCACACATGTAGCGGCTCCACGTCGCGAAATTGTCCCCATCAAATTTTTCGATGGAGATCCTGGTAATGGAACTTTGTGCAGAGGACATCTTGCTTGAGCACACAACCTAATAAAGTCTGACGAGCGCTGGGCGAGGATACAAAGGTTGAAGAAAGCTAAAGAAGTCTACACCACAAATTAAAGACGACTTGTGCTGTAGGAGGAACGTTTAGAAGTGATTGATTTACAGGTATCAACTCTGCCTACGCTTGACTGCATCCAATCCCATGGTGCATTTAATCAACCTGATTTACACGCCTCCAATCATCCTACGCGTCTAACCAACTCTGAAGTAATCACCGACATAAAAACTATTTCGTATGCACCACGCTCGAGTATCGGATTGTACCAGTAACCTTCAATGCGCACCCTAAATGCGCACTCTCAATGCAAACATGCGTGAATGTCGAGAGCCGCCGTCATGTCTTTGTGGCGTGGTCCTAGTAGTCTCTTCGTCATTCTGTCCGCAAATACGTTCGTCGTCTCACAAGATTCCAGCTTGACTTCCCCACGCTTATCCTCATTAAGGATGTAATGGTACTTGATTTTGATGTGCTTCGCTTGACCATGGATCACCGGGTTCGTCGTCATCTTGATGCAGGACTGGTTGTCTTCCGTAATCTTGAGCTCGGACTTGGACGTTCCCGCTGCGGAATCCAGAAAGGTTTCGCGCAGCAAGCGATGCACCCACTTGCCTTCTTGAATCGCCAGACTTAGAGCGATATACTCGGCTTCACTTGTTGACAATTACACACTTGGTTGCTTCTTGCTACCCCAGCTCACCGGAGCACACATGATCATGAATGCGTCTCTCTAAGTAGACTTGCGATACGCATGGTCGCCAGCCCAGTCTGCATCCAAGTATGGAGCAGATGCCGTTCGATTTGGATCCATGCAAGCATTGCACAATACGCTTGACCGACATCCAGTGCTCGACTTGCAGTTTCTCCATGAAGCGCGAAACATAGCTCACAGTAAAGGCAATGCCCGGTCGTGTCGCGGTCGTCAAGTGTATTAAGGCACCCACTGCTTGATGAAACAGAGCGTCGATACTGGTCGCAGTGTTACTTGGTGGAGTCGAGGGGTGATGTCCGTTGGGCTGATGACAGCTTTGCAATTGTTCATGCTGAACCGCTTCAGAACATCGGCTACGTATCGTCGCTGGCACATCGTCACGCTGACTTCATCCTTTACCATCTCGATACCCAACACAAAAGAACACTTGCCTCCGTCAGGCATCTCGAAATGCGACTTCAAGTCGTACGCGCAATCATTTTGGTCGAGCTGCCAATCACCAACACATCATCGACGTAGACCAGCAAAACACGCACTGTCCGCGCTTGCGACCTTGAAATCGATGCATGGGTCAAAGTCGGACGCTTGAAATCTGATAGAGCAGACGAGATAATGGAAAGTTTCTTTCCACACCCGTGAAGCTTGTTTAGTCTGTAGATTGCTTTCACCATCTCGAAGCAGTCAAAGTCTACGTTGACTTCTACACCCTCTGGGACCGCGCAAAACACTGGTCCCTTTATTTCACCATGCAGATAAGTTGTCACCACATCTAGTTGTTCCATCGTCCAGTAAGTACTCGTGATCACTATCACCATGCGAAGCGTCACATACTTGACGCCTGGCGAGATCGTCTCCGTGAAGTCAGTGTCATTTCTTGTCTTGAACCCTTATGCCACGAGACGCGCCTTGCACTTTTCAATCGATTCATCAGCCTCGCGCTCGATCTTAAACACCCACTTGGTACCAATGGTGTGCTGTCCAGCTGGCAGCTCGGTCGCTTGGAACACGCCACGTAGCTTCATTGAGCCCAACTCGGCGCAAATCGCATTACGACAATGAACTCGATCCGGACCACTACATTTGTGATGAAACGTTGTCAGCTCGGACAAGTCAGTACCTTTGGCTGCCTTGGCACTTGCTTGCCAAAATACTGGAGGAGATTCATCATCGTCATCTTCATCACCGCCTTTTCGCTCTTCGTCTGGATTGGCGCGAGTTCTTTAGCGCCGTTTCGCTTGATGCGACTCAAAATCATCTGGTGCACTTGCTTCTTTCAACCCGGCTCCACTGCGATTAGGAAGTGTCCGTTGATAGACTTTTTATGGCAGTTGGAACGGCTCTTTCGCTTTCTATTGTGCTTGAACTGCATGGTGCAAAGCTCATCGCTGGTGTCCATCGCGTCGAAATCCAGCGCAGTGTCACCGACAACTTCTTGTGGCAGTGTCCGTGATAATCCAAACGTTGATTCGTCAAAGGTGACATCACGTGATATTATCACTTGATCTGCTTTAATTTCGTAAATGCGGTATACTTTCAACACTTCTTTGTAACCCATGAACATCCTTCTCAAGTCTTCGGGTCCCACTTCGATCGCTTTTCTTTGGGGTCAACACGAACGCTCGGTATTCAAAAACTCGCATGTGCTTCACACTTGGCCGAAACCTTTGATGATCTCGAACGGAGTTCAGTCTCGGTACTTCGGCGAAGGCAGGCGATTCTTGACGTAGATCGCCGTCATTGTTGCCTCGTCCCAAAACACTTGTCCAGTTTTGAGTCGTGAAGCATGCTGCGGCCGATTGTCACGATGATCCGAATCTCTTGTTTTGCTTTGCCATTAGTCTAGTGCGCATATGGAACGGTGACCTGCTGCTCGATTCCTTGATCATCGTAGAACGCCTTGAGCGAAGGCGTCGCAAACTCACGTGCAACATTGTGCCGAGCATATTTAACCGTGCAGTCATACTGCATCTGGACCGCCACGATGTACTTCTTGATGCACGTTTCACTGTCGAACTTGGCGCGCAGACTGAAGCCCTTCATGCATCCACTGCTTTCATCTACTATCAGCAGCAATTACTTGGCTCCAACTAACGAGTCGGCTTCCATCGGGTCACACGTGTCGATGTGCAGAAGCTCAAACGGATCATAGTGACGCTCGTTCGGGATGCTTTGAAACGGTTGCTGCACCATTTATTCTTCTTGACAACCACGACGCACGCTTGATTCGCTTGATCTTGGTGGTATCTTGACATCCTTGATCATGTTCTTGGAAACCATCCTGTACAGGACCTCAGTTGGTGCGTGGCCCATACGCGCATGATGATCTTCGTCTCTTGATCGCAATGTAGCATTCACGGAATTTTGCAGTGTACGAAGCCAGTCGATTCCGTCTACAAGTTCTGCCGTTGCCATCACTTGCTCGGAGTCTTTGTGTAAAATCTTCATCCCGGCACCATGGAACATCACTTAAGCTTTGCAGCTCTTATTGATTTGCGGAATTGACAGCAGATTTTTTTTCTCATTCTTGGGACGCAAAGCGCGTTCTTGATCTTGCGCTCTTCACCGTTTTGCGGGACCTTGCCTTGTTCCCATCTACGACCAACGCTTTGCCTTCATTGCGCTCGTCCGGAAATTTGAACTTGTTCTTGTCATGGCAGATGTGTTGCGTCGCACCGCTGCTATTCGCCCGTATCCCAGACGTATTCTTGATCGCTGAAATTACGCATTCCAGTGAAACAGCAAACACTACTCGATCGTAGTCGCAGTTGTTGTTGCTGTGGTATCCTTGCCACTGGACTTGATTCACTCCGCGTCCAGGAGCATTGCTACCGCGTCGAGCTCCCCAATTTTCTTCCTTCTGCTTGGTCCAGCAACGTTCCGCTTTTCCCCAATTTACGCAGAACGAGCATCGACGAACCTCGCGCTCGGTACTGAAGGCCTTGGTCACTTCTTCAGTCTTCACCGCCGCAGACTTAACACCTTGACGCTTGATGTGATCGTTCGTCAACACGTTGACAGCGTCGCGCAGTTGCAGTTTGCGCTGCTCATCTACAAGTTGAGAACGACGTGCTCGTAGCTCTTGTGGAGATTGCTTCAAAAGAAGATCGCTACGTCCTCGTCCTCCATCTTGGCGCCGATGCTGCTGAGCTTCGCTCTGATGTTGAGGACTTCATTACAGTGATGCATGACATTGCCGCTTTCCGCTATCTCCATGCTGAACAGCTGTCGCTTCAAGGAGGTCCATAAACCGCCTTCTGCGACCTACTATACAGTGTCTTCAAACGCACGCACGCAACTTATGCTATTTTGCTTTCATCCACCATATGATGAAAGTCGGCGTCCATGCGCAGTAACATCAGTCCGAGCGAACTGTTTTTCGTCTTGATATAATCGTCACTGTCGCGAGTATTCGATAAGGTTGACGTCGTCTCTCGGTTGACCACATGCCACGCCGACATGACCTGGAACACGCCACACATGTAGCGGCTCCACGTCGCGAAATTGTCCCCATCAAAATTTGTCGATGGAGATCCTGGTAATGGAACTTTGTGCAGAGGACATCTTGCTTGAGCACATAACCTAATAAAGTCTGACGAGCGCTGGGCGAGGATACAAAGGTTGAAGAAAGCTAAAGAAGTCTACACCACAAATTAAAGACGACTTGTGCTGTAGGAGGAACGTTTAGAAGTGATTGATTTACAGGTATCAACTCTGCCTACGCTTGACTGCATCCAATCCCATGGTGCATTTAATCAACCTGATTTACACGCCTCCAATCATCCTACGCGTCTAACCAACTCTGAAGTAATCACCGACATAAAAACTATTTCGTATGCACCACGCTCGAGTATCGGATTGTACCAGTAACCTTCAATGCGCACCCTCAATGCACACTCTCAATGCAAACATGCGTGAATGTCGAGAGCCGCCGTCATGTCTTTGTGGCGTGGTCCTAGTAGTCTCTTCGTCATTCTGTCCGCAAATATATTCGTCGTCTCACAAGATTCCAGCTTGACTTCCCCACGCTTATCCTCATTAAGGATGTAATGGTACTTGATTTTGATGTGCTTCGCTTGACCATGGATCACCGGGTTCGTCGTCATCTTGATGCAGGACTGGTTGTCTTCCGTAATCTTGAGCTCGGACTTGGACGTTCCCGCTGCGGAATCTAGGTTTCGCGCAGCAAGCGATGCACCCACTTGCCTTCTTGAATCGCCAGACTTAGAGCGATATACTCGGCTTCACTTGTTGACAATTACACACTTGGTTGCTTCTTGCTACCCCAGCTCACCGGAGCACACATGATCATGAATGCGTCTCTCTAAGTAGACTTGCGATACGCATGGTCGCCAGCCCAGTCTGCATCCAAGTAGCCGTAGAAGTCCATCTTGTCGTCGAGTTTGGAGCAGATGCCGAGCGATTTGGATCCATGCAAGCATTGCACAATACGCTTGACCGACATCCAGTGCTCGACTTGCAGTTTCTCCATGAAGCGCGAAACATAGCTCACAGTAAAGGCAATGCCCGGTCGTGTCGCGGTCGTCAAGTGTATTAAGGCACCCACTGCTTGATGAAACGGAGCGTCGATACTGGTCACTGCGTTACTTGGTGGAGTCGAGGGGTGATGTCCGTTGGGCTGATGACAGCTTTGCAATTGTTCACGCCGAACCGCTTCAGAACATCGGCTACGTACCGTCGCTGGCACATCGTCACGCTGACTTCATCCTTTACCATCTCGATACCCAACACAAAAGAACACTTGCCTCCGTCAGGCATCTCGAAATGCGACTTCAAGTCGTACGCGCAATCATTTCGGTCGAGCTGCCAATCACCAACACATCATCGACGTAGACCAGCAAAACACGCACTGTCCGCGCTTGCGACCTTGAAATCGATGCATGGGTAAAAGTCGGACGCTTGAAATCTGATAGAGCAGACGATCTCATTGAAAGTTTCTTTCCACAACCGTGAAGCTTGTTTAGTCTGTAGATTGCTTTCACCATCTCGAAGCAGTCAAAGTCTACGTCGACTTCTACACCCTCTGGGACCGCGCAAAACACTGTTCCCTTTATTTCACCATGCAGATAAGTTGTCACCACATCTAGTTGTTCCATCGTCCAGTAAGTACTCGTGATCACTATCACCATGCGAAGCGTCACATACTTGACGCCTGGCGAGATCGTCTCCGTGAAGTCAGTGTCATTTCTTGTCTTGAACCCTTATGCCACGAGACGCGCCTTGCACTTTTCAATCGATTCATCAGCCTCGCGCTCGATCTTAAACACCCACTTGGTACCAATGGTGTGCTGTCCAGCTGGCAGCTCGGTCCCTCGGAACACGCCACGTAGCTTCATTGAGCCCAACTCGGCGCACATCGCATTACGACAATGAACTCGATCCGGACCACTACCCGCGTGTTGAAACGTTGTCAGCTCGGACAAGTCAGTACCTTTGGCTGCCTTGGCACTTGCTTGCCAAAATACTGGAGGAGATTCATCATCGTCATCTTCATCACCGCCTTTTCGCTCTTCGTCTGGATTGGCGCGAGTTCTTTAGCGCCGTTTCGCTTGATGCGACTCAAAATCATCTGGTGCACTTGCTTCTTACAACCCGGCTCCACTGCGATTAGGAAGTGTCCGTTGATAGACTTTTTATGGCAGTTGGAACGGCTCTTCGCTTTCTATTGTGCTTGAACTGCATGGTGCAAAGCTCATCGCTGGTGTCCATCGCGTCGAAATCCAGCGCAGTGTCATCGACAACTTCTTGCGGCAGTGCCCGTGATAATCCAAACGTTGGTTCGTCAAAGGTGACATCACGTGATATTACCACTTGATCTGCTTTAATTTCGTAAATGCGGTATACTTTCCACACTTCTATGTAACCCATGAACATCCTTCTCCAGTCTTCGTGTCCCACTTCGATCGCTTTTCTTTGAGGCCAACACGAACGCTCGGTATTCAAAAACTCGCATGTGCTTCACACTTGGCCGAAACCTTTGATGATCTCGAACGGAGTTCAGTCTTGGTACTTGGCCGAAGGCAGGCGATTCTTGACGTAGATCGCCGTCATTGCTGCCTCGTCCCAAAAACACTTGTCCAGCTTTGAGTCGTGAAGCATGCTGCGGCCGATTGTCACGATGATCCGAATCTCTTGTTTTGCTTTGCCATTAGTCTAGTGCGCATATGGAACGGTGACCTGCTGCTCGATTCCTTGATCATCGTAGAACGCCTTGAGCGAAGGCGTCGCAAACTCACGTGCAACATTGTGCCGAGCATATTTAATCGTGCAGTCATACTGCATCTGGACCGCCACGATGTACTTCTTGATGCACGTTTCACTGTCGAACTTGGCGCGCAGACTGAAGCCCTTCATGCATCCACTGCCTTCATCTACTATCAGCAGCAATTACTTGGCTCCAACTAACGAGTCGGCTTCCATCGGGTCACACGTGTCGATGTGCAGAAGCTCAAACGGATCATAGTGACGCTCGTTCGGGATGCTTTGAAACGGTTGCTGCACCATTTCTTCTTCTTGACAACCACGACGCACGCTTGATTCGCTTGATCTTGGTGGTATCTTGACATCCTTGATCATGTTCTTGGAAACCATCCTGTACAGGACCTCAGTTGGTGCGTGGCCCATACGCGCATGATGATCTTCGTCTCTTGATCGCAATGTAGCATTCACGGATTTTTGCAGTGTACGAAGCCAGTCGATTCCGTCTACAAGTTCTGCCGTTGCCATCACTTGCTCGGAGTCTTTGTGTAAAATCTTCATCCCGGCACCATGGAACATCACTTAAGCTTTGCAGCTCTTATTGATTTGCGGAATTGACAGCAGATTTTTTTCTCATTCTTGGGACGCAAAGCGCGTTCTTGATCTTGCGCTCTTCACTGTTTCGCGGGACCTTGCCTTGTTCCCATCTACGACCAACGCTTTGCCTTCATTGCGCTCGTCCGGAAATTTGAACTTGTTCTTGTCATGGCAGATGTGTTGCGTCGCACCGCTGCTATTCGCCCACATCTTAAACGTGTTTTTTGATCGCTGAAATTACGCATTCCAGTGAAACAGCAAACACTACTCGATCGTAGTCGCAGTTGTTGTTGCTGTGGTATTTTAGCCACTGGACTTGATTCACTCCGCGTCCAGGAGCATTTCTACCGCGTCGAGCTCCCCGATTCTCTTCCTTCTGCTTGGTCCAGCAACGTTCCACTTTTCTCCAATTTACGCAGAACGAGCATCGACGAACCTCGCGCTCGGTACTGAAGGCCTTGGTCACTTCTTCAGTCTTCACCGCCGCAGACTTGGCACCTTGACGCTTGATGTGATCGGTCGTCAACACGTTGACAGCGTCGCGCAGTTGCAGTTTGCGCTGCTCATCTACAAGTTGAGAACGACGTGCTCGTAGCTCTTGTGGAGATTGCTTCAAAAGAAGATCGCTACGTCCTCGTCCTCCATCTTGGCGCCGATGCTGCTGAGCTTCGCTCTGATGTTGAGGACTTCATTACAGTGATGCATGACATTGCCGCTTTCCGCTATCTCCATGCTGAACAGCTGTCGCTTCAAGGAGGTCCATAAACCGCCTTCTGCGACCTACTATACAGTGTCTTCAAACGCACGCACGCAACTTATGCTATTTTGCTTTCATCCACCATATGATGAAAGTCGGCGTCCATGCGCAGTAACATCAGTCCGAGCGAACTGTTTTTCGTCTTGATATAATCGTCACTGTCGCGAGTATTCGATAAGGTTGACGTCGTCTCTCGGTTGACCACATGCCACGCCGACATGACCTGGAACACGCCACACATGTAGCGGCTCCACGTCGCGAAATTGTCATCAAATTTGTCGATGGAGATCCTGGTAATGGAACTTTGTGCAGAGGACATCTTGCTTGAGCACATAACCTAATAAAGTCTGACGAGCGCTGGGCGAGGATACAAAGGTTGAAGAAAGCTAAAGAAGTCTACACCACAAATTAAAGACGACTTGTGCTGTAGGAGGAACGTTTAGAAGTGATTGATTTACAGGTATCAACTCTGCCTACGCTTGACTGCATCCAATCCCATGGTGCATTTAATCAACCTGATTTACACGCCTCCAATCATCCTACGCGTCTAACCAACTCTGAAGTAATCACCGACATAAAAACTATTTCGTATGCACCACGCTCGAGTATCGGATTGTACCAGTAACCTTCAATGCGCACCCTCAAATGCACTCTCAATGCAAACATGCGTGAATGTCGAGAGCCGCCGTCATGTCTTTGTGGCGTGGTCCTAGTAGTCTCTTCGTCATTCTGTCCGCAAATACGTTCGTCGTCTCACAAGATTCCAGCTTGACTTCCCCACGCTTATCCTCATTAAGGATGTAATGGTACTTGATTTTGATGTGCTTCGCTTGACCATGGATCACCGGGTTCGTCGTCATCTTGATGCAGGACTGGTTGTCTTCCGTAATCTTGAGCTCGGACTTGGACGTTCCCGCTGCAGAATCTAGGTTTCGCGCAGCAAGCGATGCACCCACTTGCCTTCTTGAATCGCCAGACTTAGAGCGATATACTTGGCTTCACTTGTTGACAATTACACACTTGGTTGCTTCTTGCTACCCCAGCTCACCGGAGCACACATGATCATGAATGCGTCTCTCTAAGTAGACTTGCGATACGCATGGTCGCCAGCCCAGTCTGCATCCGAGTAGCCGTAGATATCCACCTTACCGCCGAGTTTGGAGCAGATGCCGTTCGATTTGGATCCATGCAAGTATCGCAGAATACCCTTGACCGACATCCAGTGCTCGACTTGCAGTTTCTCCATGAAGCGCGAAACATAGCTCACAGTAAAGGCAATGCCCGGTCGTGTCGCGGTCGTCAAGTGTATTAAGGCACCCACTGCTTGATGAAACAGAGCGTCGATATTGGTCGCTGCGTTACTTGGTGGAGTCGAGGGGTGATGTCCGTTGGGCTGATGACAGCTTTGCAATTGTTCATGCCGAACCGCTTCAGAACATCGTCTACGTAGCGTCGCTGGCACATCGTCACGCTGACTTCATCTCTTTCCCATCTCGATACCCAACACAAAAGAAAACTTGCCTCCGTCAGGCATCTCGAAATGCGACTTCAAGTCGTACGCGCAATCATTTCGGTCGAGCTGCCAATCACCAACACATCATCGACGTAGACCAGCAAAACACGCACTGTCCGCGCTTGCGACCTTGAAATAGATGCATGGGTCAAAGTCGGACGCTTGAAATCTGATAGAGCAGACGAGCTCATGGAAAGTTTCTTTCCACACCCGTGAAGCTTGTTTAGTCTGTAGATTGCTTTCACCATCTCGAATCAGTCAAAGTCTACGTTGACTTCTACACCCTCTAAGACCGCGCAAAACACTGGTCCATTTATTTCACCATGCAGATAAGTTGTCACCACATCTAGTTGTTCCATCGTCCAGTAAGTACTCGTGATCACTATCACCATGCGAAGCGTCACATACTTGACGCCTGGCGAGAACGTCTCCGTGAAGTCAATGTCATTTCTTGTCTTGAACCCTTATGCCACGAGACGCGCCTTGTACTTTTCGATCGATTCATCAGCCTCGCGCTCGATCTTAAACACCCACTTGGTACCAATGGTGTGCTGTCCAGCTGGCAGCTTGGTGCCTCGGAACACGCCACGTAGCTTCATTGAGTCCAACTCGGCGCAAATCGCATTACGACGATGAACTTGATCCGGACCACTACTCTCGTGTTGAAACGTTGTCAGCTCGGACAAGTCAGTAGCTTTGGCTGCATTGGCACTTGCTTGCCAGAAGACTAGAGGAGAGTCGTCATCGTCATTTTCATCACCACCTTTTCGCTCTTCGTCTGGATTGACGCGAGTTCTTTAGCGCCGTTTCGCTTGATGCGACTCAAAATCATCTGGTGCACTTGCTTCTTCCAACCCGGCTCCACTGCGATTAGGAAGTGTCCGTTGATAGACTTTTTCATGGCAGTTGGAACGGCTCTTTCGCTTTCTATTGTGCTTGAACTGCATGGTGCAAAGCTCATCACTGGTGTCCATCGCGTCGAAGTCCAGCGCAGTGTCATCGACAACTTCTTGCGGCAGTGCCCGTGATAATCCAAACGTTGATTCGTCAAAGGTGGCATCACGCGATACTACCACTTGATCTGCTTTAATTTCGTAAATGCGGTATACTTTCAGCACTTCTTTGTAACCCATGAATATCCTTCTCAAGTCTTCGTGTCCCACTTCGATCGCTTTTCTTTGGGGTCAACACGAACGCTCGGTATTCAAAGACTCGCATGTGCTTCACACTTGGCCGCAACCTTTAATGAAATTGAACGGAGTTCAGTCTTGGTAGCTGGGGAAGACTTCGATCGCTTTTCTTTGGGGTCAGCACGAACGCTCGGTATTCAAAAACTCGCATGTGCTTCACAATTGGCCGCAACCTTTAATGAAATTGAACGGAGTTCAGTCTTGGTAGTTGGGGAAGACTTCGATCGCTTTTCTTTGGGGTCAGCACGAACGCTCGGTATTAAAAAAACTCGCATGTGCTTCACACTTGGCCGCAACCTTTGATGATCTCGAACGGAGTTCAGTCTCGGTACTTCGGCGAAGGCAGGCGATTCTTGACGTAGATCGCCGTCATTGCTGCCTCGTCCCAAAACACTTGTCCAGTTTTGTGTCGTGAAGCATGCTGCGGCCGATTGTCACGATGATCCGAATCTCTTGTTTTGCTTTGCCGTTAGTCTAGTGGGCATGTGGAACGGTGACCTGCTGCTCGATTCCTTGATCATCGTAGAACGCCTTGAGCGAAGTCGACGCACACTCACGTGCACCATTGTGCCGAACTTATTTAACCGTGCAGTCATACTGCATCTGGACCGCCACGATGTACTTCTTGATGCACGTTTCACTGTCGAACTTGGCGCGCAGACTGAAGCCCTTCATGCATCCACTGCCTTCATCTACTATCAGCAGCAATTACTTGGCTCCAACTAACGAGTCGGCTTCCATCGGGTCACACGTGTCGATGTGCAGAAGCTCAAACGGATCATAGTGACGCTCGTTCGGGATGCTTGGAAACGGTTGCTGCACCATTTCTTCTTCTTGACAACCACGACGCACGCTTGATTCGCTTGATCTTGGTGGTATCTTGACATCCTTGATCATGTTCTTGGAAACCATCCTGTACAGGACCTCAGTTGGTGCGTGGCCCATACGCGCATGATGATCTTCGTCTCTTGATCGCAATGTAGCATTCACGGATCTTTGCAGTGAACGAAGCCAGTCGATTCCGTCTACAAGTTCCGCCATTGCCATCACTTGCTCAGAGTCTTTGTGTAAAATCTTCATCGCGGCACCATGGAACATCACTTGAGCTTTGCAGCTCTTATTGATTTGCGGAATTGACAGCAGATTGTTTTTCTCATTCTTGGGACGTAAAGCGCGTTCTCGAGCTCGCGCTCTTCACTGTTTCGCGGGACCTTGCCTTGTTCCCATCTATGACCAACGCTTTGCCTTCATTGCGCTCGTCCGGAAACTTGAACTTGTTCTTGTCATGGCAGATGTGTTGCGTCGCACCGCTGCTATTCGCCCGTATCCCAGACGTATTCTTGATCGCTGAAATTACGCGTTCCAGTGACTCAGCAAACACTACTCGATCGTAGTCGCAGTTGTTGTTGCTGTGGTATCCTTGCCACTGGACTTGATTCGCTCCGCGTCCAGGAGCATTGCTACCGCGTCGAGCTCCCCGATTTTATTCCTTCTGCTTGGTCCAGCAACGTTCCACTTTTCCCCAATTTACGCAGAACGAGCATCGACGAACCTCGCGCTCGGTACTGAAGGCCTTGGTCACTTCTTCAGTCTTCACCGCCGCAGACTTGGCACCTTGACGCTCGATGTGATCGGTCGTCACACATTGACAGCGTCGCGCAGTTTGCAGTTTGCGCTGCTCATCTACAAGTGTTGAGAACGACGTTCTCGTAGCTCTTGTGGAGATTGTTGCACAAGAAGATCGCTACGTCCTCGTCCTCCATCTTGGCGCCGATGCTGCTGAGCTTAGCTCTGATGTTGAGGACTTCATTACAGTGATGCATGACATTGCCGCTTTCCGCTATCTCCATGCTGAACAGCTGTTGCTTCAAGGAGGTCCATAAACCGCCTTCTGCGACCTACTATACAGTGTCTTCAAACGCACGCACGCAACTTATGCTGATTTTCTTTCATCAACCACGTGATGAAAGTCGGCGTCCATGTGCAGTAACATCAGTCCGAGCGAACTGTTTTGCGTCTTGATATAATCGTCACTGTCGCGAGTATTCGATAAGGTTGACGTCGTCTCTCGGTTGATCACATGCCACGCCGACTTGGTCTTGGACACGCCAAACATGTAGCGGCTCCACGTCGCGAGATTGTCCCCATCAAATACTTCAATGAAATTCGATGGAGATCCTGGTAATGGAACTTTGTGCAGAGGACATCTTGCTTGAGCACACAACCTAATAAAGTCTGACGAGCGCTGGGCGAGGATACAAAGGTTGAAGAAAGCTAAAGAAGTCTACACCACAAAGTGAAGACGACTTGTGCTGTAGGAGGAACGTTTAGAAGTGATTGATTTACAGGTATCAACTCTGCCTACGCTTGACTGCATCCAATCCCATGGTACATTTAATCAACCTGATTTACACGCCTCCAATCATCCTACGCGTCTAACCAACTCTGAAGTAATCACCGACATAAAAACTATTTCGTATGCACCACGCTCGAGTATCGGATTGTACCAGTAACCTTCAATGCGCACCCTCAATGCGCACTCTCAATGCAAACATGAGTGAATGTCGAGAGCCGCCGTCATGTCTTTGTGGCGTGGTCCTAGTAGTCCCTTCGTCATGATGTCCGCCAATCTATTCGTCGTCTCACAAGATTCCAGCCTGACTTCCCCGCGCTTATCCTCATTACGGATGTAATGGTACTTGATTTTGATGTGCTTGGCTTGGCCATGGATCACCGAGTCCTTCGTCATCTTGATGGAGGACTGGTTGTCTTCCGTAATCTTGAGCTCGGACTTGTCTGCTGTGGTAACCAGAAAATTTTCGCGCAGCAAGCAATGCACCCACTTGCCTTCTTGAATAGCCAGACTTAGAGCGATATACTCGGCTCCACTTGTTGACAATTACACACTTGGTTGCTTCTTGCTACCCCAGCTCACCGGAGCACACATGATCATGAATGCGTCTCTCTAAGTAGACTTGCGGTCCACATAGTCGCCAGCCCAGTCTGCATCCGAGTAGCCGTAGATATCCACCTTACCGCCGAGTTTGGAGCAGATGCCGAGCGATTTGGATCCATGCAAGTATTGCACAATACGCTTGACCGACATCCAGTGCTCGACTTGCGGTTTCTCCATGAAGCGCGAAACATAGCTCACAGTAAAGGCAATGCCCGGTCGTGTCGCGGTCGTCAAGTGTATTAAGGCACCCACTGCTTGATGAAACGGAGCGTCGATATTGGTCGCTGCGTTACTTGGTAGAGTCGAGGGGTGATGTCCGTTGGGCTGATGACAGCTTTGCAATTTCTCGTGCCGAACCGCTTAAGAACACCGTCTACGTAGCGTCGCTGGCACATCGTCACGCTGCCTTCATCCTTTCCCGTCTCGATACCCAACACAAAAGAACACTTGCCTCTGTCAGTCATCTCGAAATGCGACTTCAAGTCGTACGGGCAATCATTTCGGTCGAGCTGCCAGTCACCAAAACATCATCGACGTAGACCAGCAAACACGCACTGTCCGCTTGCGACCTTGAAATCGATGCATGGGTCAAAGTCGGACGCTTGAAATCTGATAGAGCAGACGATCTCATGTAAAGTTTCTTTCCACACCCGTGAAGCTTGTTTAGTCTGTAGATTGCTTTCACCATCTCGAAGCAGTCAAAGTCTTCAGTCGACTTCTACACCCTCTGGGACCGCGCAAAACACTGGTCCCTTTATTTCACCATGCAGATAAGTTGTCACCACATCTAGTTGTTCCATCGTCCAGTAAAAGTACTCGTGATCACTATCACCATGCGAAGCGTCACATACTTGACGCCTGGCGAGATCGTCTCCGTGAAGTCAATGTCATTTCTTGTCTTGAACCCTTTTGCCACGAGACGCGCCTTGCACTTTTCGATCGATTCATCAGCCTCGCGCTCGATCTTAAACACCCACTTGGTACCAATGGTGTGCTGTCCAGCTGGCAGCTTGGTCCCTCGGAACACACCACGTAGCTTCATTGAGTCCAACTCGGCGCGAATCGCATTACGACAATGAACTCGATCCGGACCACTACCCGCGTGTTGAAACGTTGTCAGCTCGGACAAGTCAGTAGCTTTGGCTGCATTGGCACTTGCTTGCCAGAAGACTAGAGGAGAGTCGTCATCGTCATCTTCATCACCGCCTTTTCGCTCTTCGTCCAGATTGGCGCGAGTTCTTTAGCGCCGTTTCGCTTGATGCGACTCAAAATCATCTGGTGCACTTGCTTCTTCCGACCCGGCTTCACTGCGATTAGGAAGTATCCGTTGATAGACTTTTTCATGGCAGTTTGAACGGCTCTTTCGCTTTCTATTGTGCTTGAACTGCATGGTGCAAAGCTCATCACTGGTGTCCATCGCGTCGAAGTCCAGCGCAGTGTCATCGACAACTTCTTGCGGCAGTGTCCGTGATAATCCAAACGTTGGTTCGTCAAAGGTGACATCACGTGATATTACCACTTGATCTGCTTTAATTTCGTAAATGCGGTATACTTTCCACACTTCTATGTAACCCATGAACATCCTTCTCAAGTCTTCGTGTCCCACTTCGATCGCTTTTCTTTGAGGCCAACACGAACGCTCGGTATTCAAAAACTCGCATGTGCTTCACACTTGGCCGAAACCTTTGATGATCTCGAACGGAGTTCAGTCTTGGTACTTGGCCGAAGGCAGGCGATTCTTGACGTAGATCGCCGTCATTGCTGCCTCGTCCCAAAAACACTTGTCCAGTTTTGAGTCGTGAAGCATGCTGCGGCCGATTGTCACGATGATCCGAATCTCTTGTTTTGCTTTGCCATTAGTCTAGTGCGCATATGGAACGGTGACCTGCTGCTCGATTCCTTGATCATCGTAGAACGCCTTGAGCGAAGTCGATGCACACTCACGTGCAACATTGTGCCGAGCATATTTAACCGTGCAGTCATACTGCATCTGGACCGCCACGATGTACTTCTTGATGCACGTTTCACTGTCGAACTTGGCGCGCAGACTGAAGCCCTTCATGCATCCACTGCCTTCATCTACTATCAGCAGCAATTACTTGGCTCCAACTAACGAGTCGGCTTCCATCGGGTCACACGTGTCGATGTGCAGAAGCTCAAATGGATCATAGTGACGCTGGTTCGGGATGCTTGGAAACGGTTGCTGCACCATTTCTTCTTCTTGACAACCACGACGCACGCTTGATTCGCTTGATCTTGGTGGTATCTTGACATCCTTGATCATGTTCTTGGAAACCATCCTGTACAGGACCTCAGTTGGTGCGTGGCCCATACGCGCATGATGATCTTCGTCTCTTGATCGCAATGTAGCATTCACGGATCTTTGCAGTGAACGAAGCCAGTCGATTCCGTCTACAAGTTCCGCCATTGCCATCACTTGCTCAGAGTCTTTGTGTAAAATCTTCATCCCGGCACCATGGAACATCACTTGAGCTTTGCAGCTCTTATTGATTTGCGGAATTGACAGCAGATTTTTTTGTTCATTCTTGGGACGTAAAGCGCGTTCTTGATCTTGCGCTCTTCACCGTTTTGCGGGACCTTGCCTTGTTCCCATCTACGACCAACGCTTTGCCTTCATTGCGCTCGTCCGGAAATTTGAACTTGTTCTTGTCATGGCAGATGTGTTGCGTCGCACCGCTGCTATTCGCCCATATCCCAAACGTTTTTTTATCGCTAAAATTACGCATTCCAGTGAAACAGCAAACACTACTCGATCGTAGTCGCAGTTGTTGTTGCTGTGGTATCCTTGCCACTGGACTTGATTCACTCCGCGTCCAGGAGCATTGCTACCGCGTCGAGCTCCCCGGTTTTCTTCCTTCTGCTTGGTCCAGCAACGTTCCGCTTTTCCCCAATAAACGCAGAACGAGCATCGACGAACCGTCGCGCAGTCGCAGTTTGCGCTGCTCATCTACAAGTTGAGAACGACGTGCTCGTAGCTCTTGAGGAGACTGCTTCACAAGAAGATCGCTACGTCCTCGTCCTCCATCTTGGCGCCGATGCTGCTGAGCTTCGCTCTGATGTTGAGGACTTCATTACAGTAATGCATGACATTGCCGCTTTCCGCTATCTCCATGCTGAACAGCTGTCGCTTCAAGTAGGTCCATAAACCGCCTTCTGCGACCTACTATACCGTGTCTTCAAACGCACGCACGCAACTTATGCTATTTTGCTTTGATCAACCGTGATGAAAGTCGGCGTCCATGCGCAGTAACATCAGTCCGAGCGAACTGTTTTTCGTCTTGATATAATCGTCACTGTCGCGAGTATTCGATAAGGCTGACGTCGTCTCTCGGTTGACCACATGCCACGTCGACTTGGTCTTGGACACGCCAAACATGTAGCGTCTTCACGTCACGAGCTTGTCCCCATCAAATACTTCAATGAAAATTTGATGGAGATCTTGGTAATGGAATCTTGAGCAGACGAAAGCTTGCTTGGGTACATAGCCTAATAAAGTCTGACGAGCGCTGGGCGAGGATACAAAGGTTAAAGAGAGCTGAAGAAGTCTACACCACAAAGTGAAGACGACTTGTGCTGTAGGAGGAATGTTTAGAAGTGATTGATTTATAGGTATCAACTCTGCCTACGCTTGACTGCATCCAATCCCATGGTGCATTTAATCAACCTGAGTTACACGCGTACAATCATCCTACGCGTCTAACCAACTCTGAAGTAATCACCGGCATAAAAACTATTTCGTATGCACCACGCTCGAGTATCGGATTGTACCAGTAACCTTCAATGCGCACCCTCAATGCGCACTCTCAATGCAAACATGAGTGAATGTCGAGAGCCGCCGTCATGTCTTTGTGGTGTGGTCCTAGTAGTCCCTTCGTCATGCTGTCCGCCAATCTATTCGTCGTCTCACAAGATTCCAGCCTGACTTTCCCGCGCTTAACCTCATTAAGGATGTAATGGTACTCGATTTGGATGTGCTTGGCTTAACCATGGTTCACCGGGTTCGTCGTCATCTTGATGCAGGACTGGTTGTCTTCCGTAATCTTGAGCTCGAACTTGTCCGCTGCGGTAATCAGAAAATTTTCGCGCAGCAAGCGATGCACCCACTTGCCTTCTTGAATAGCCAGACTTAGAGCGATATACTCGGCTTCACTTGTTGACAATTACACACTTGGTTGCTTCTTGCTACCCCAGCTCACCGGAGCACACATGATCATGAATGCGTCTCTCTAAGTAGACTAGCGGTCCACATGGTCGCCAGCCCAGTCTGCATCCGAGTAGCCGTAGATATACACCTTACCGCCGAGTTTGGAGCAGATGCCGTTCGATTTGGATCCATGCAAGCATTGCACAATACGCTTGACCGACATCCAGTGCTCGACTTGCGGTTTCTTCATGAAGCGCGAAACATAGCTCACAGTAAAGGCAATGTCCGGTCGTGTCGCGGTCGTCAAGTGTATTAAGGCACCCACTGCTTGATGAAACGGAGCGTCGATATTGGTCGCTGCGTTACTTGGTAGAGTCGAGTGGTGATGTCCGTTAGGCTGATGACAGCTTTGCGATATCTCATGCCGAACCGCTTCAGAACATCGTCAACGTAGCGTCGCTGGCACATCGTCACGCTGCCTTCATTCCTTTCCCATCTCGATACCCAACACAAAAGAACACTTGCCTCCGTCAGGCATTTCGAAATGCGACTTCAAGTCGTACGCGCAATCATTTCGGTCGAGCTGCCAATCACCAACACATCATCGACGTAGACCAGCAAAACACGCACTGTCCTCTTGCGACCTTGAAATCGATGCATGGGTCAAAGTCGGACGCTTGAAATCCGATAGAGCAGACGAGCTCATGGAAAGTTTCTTTCCACACCCGTGAAGCTTGTTTATTCTGTAGATTGCTTTCACCATCTCGAAGCAGTCAAAGTCTACATTGACTTCTACACCCTCTGGGACCGCGCAAAACACAGGTTCATTTATTTCACCATGCACTTGAGTTCCGCCTTCACAGCATTTCGCCAGTGAGCTTGATCAGGACCATTGATCGCGTCTTGAAAAGTCACAGGTTCTGCTAGGTCCGTTGCTTCCACTGCGTTTGCACTGGCACGCCAAAATGTTGGAGGCGTCGAGTCGTCATCTTGATCGTAGACGCTTGCATCTTCTTCGTCATCAGACATTGTTTCTGGAGCACTTGATCGTCGTTTCTGGTGACGGTTGTGTTGATTGGTGAAAAGCTTGACGACCGAAACTGGGAGTGATGCTGGGAGTCCACTCGGAAGACCGGAGAAGACACTTGGGGGGTAGATGGAAGATTGGAAAGTGATTGATTATCGGGGCTTACTACTTACTACATGATTTATATGTGGTGCACATATAAATCATGTGAAGCGTCTCATCATCCTACGCGTCTAATCAACCATGGTAACTACCGTAAGAACTACGTCGTAAATACTAAGCTGAACAGGCGGTTCGGATTGGACCGGTCACGGTTTCCAATACTGGTAGAAACCGATGACCGTCAACACGCCCCCTCAATCCGAACTCGCACGAATGCCGAGAGCCGTCGTCAAGTCCTTGTGACGAGGTCCACAAAGTCCTTTGGTCATGATGTCAGCCATCATCACGGAAGTCTCGCAATACTCGAGCTGCACTTCACCGCGCTTGACCTCATCACGGATGTGATGGTACTTGATGTCGATGTGCTTGGCGCGGCCATGATTCACCGGATTCTTCGTCATCTTGATGCACGACTGGTTGTCTTCACGGATGACGAGGTCCGGTCCTGGTTCGTTTGCGGCCGCCTAAATCTCGCATAGCAGGCGATGCACCCACTTGCCTTCCTGGATGGCCAGACTCAGTGCGATGTATTCCGCTTCACTCGTCGACAGCGACACACTTGACTGCTTCTTGCTTCCCCAACTCACAGGAGCACCCATCAGCATGAAAGTGTAACCCGAAGTCGACTTGCGATCAGCGTGGTCGCCGGCCCAGTCCGCGTCCGAGTAGCCACGAAAATCGATCTTGTCGCTTGGCTGGAAGCGGAGTCCGTGCGACTTGGTCCCTTGCAAGTAACGAAAGATGCGCTTCACCGCCGTCCAATGTTCTTGCTGCGGATTCTCCGTGAAGCGCGAGACGTACCCCACAGCATACGCAATGTCCGGGCGCGTCGCAGTCGTCAAGTGCATCAAAGCTCCCACAGCTTCACGAAATGGAACGTCGATCTTGGCCGCTTCGCTGATTGCGACAATCCGAGTGCTCAAGTCGACCGGACTTGCTGTGGCCTTGCACTCATCCATGCCGAAGCGCTTGAGGATGTCGTTGACATACCGTCGCTGGCACATCGTCACGCTGCCATCCGATTCGTCCACCAGTTCGATGCCCAGTACAAAAGTACACTTGCCACTGTCGGTCATCTCGAAACGCGTCTTGAGGTCGGCCTTCGTCTGCGCAATCAACTCGAGCGAGCTGCCGGTGACCAACACGTCATCCACGTAGACCAGCACGAGCACACAGTGACCGTCGACAACCTTGATGTAGAGACATGGGTCGAACGCCGACACTTCAAAACCGATGAAGCATACGAACTCGTCGAAAGTCTCGTTCCACACACGTGAAGCTTGCTTGAGACCGTAGATCGCCTTCACCAACTCGAGACAGTCGAAGTCGCCATCCATCTCGACGCCTTCTGGTATCACGCAGTACACCTTCTCCTTCATCACTCCGTAGAGAAAGGCTGTCACCACATCGAGTTGGTCCAGTGGCCAGTCGAAATACTTGGTGATCGCGATCACCATACGCAGTGTCACGTACTTGACCACGGGCGAGAACGTCTCTGTGTAGTCGATGCCGTACTTCTGCTTGAAGCCCTTGACAACGAGACGCGCCTTGAATTTCTCGACCGATCCATCTGCTTTGCGCTTGATCTTGAACACCCACTTGGTGCCGATCGCGCCTTGGCCTCTTGGCAGTTTTGCCGCACGGAAAACTCCACGAAGTTGCATCGACTTGAGTTCCGCCTTCACAGCATTTCGCCAGTGAGCTTGATCAGGACCATTGATCGCGTCTTGAAAAGTCACAGGTTCTGCTAGGTCCGTTGCTTCCACTGCGTTTGCACTGGCACGCCAAAATGTTGGAGGCGTCGAGTCGTCATCTTGATCGTAGACGCTTGCATCTTCTTCGTCATCAGACATTGTTTCTGGAGCACTTGATCGTCGTTTCTGGTGACGGTTGTGTTGATTGGTGAAAAGCTTGACGACCGAAACTGGGAGTGATGCTGGGAGTCCACTCGGAAGACCGGAGAAGACACTTGGGGGGTAGATGGAAGATTGGAAAGTGATTGATTATCGGGGCTTACTACTTACTACATGATTTATATGTGGTGCACATATAAATCATGTGAAGCGTCTCATCATCCTACGCGTCTAATCAACCATGGTAATTACCGTAAGAACTACGTCGTAAATACTAAGCTGAACAGGCGGTTCGGATTGGACCGGTCACGGTTTCCAATACTGGTAGAAACCGATGACCGTCAACACGCCCCCTCAATCCGAACTCGCACGAATGCCGAGAGCCGTCGTCAAGTCCTTGTGACGAGGTCCACAAAGTCCTTTGGTCATGATGTCAGCCATCATCACGGAAGTCTCGCAATACTCGAGCTGCACTTCGCCGCGCTTGACCTCATCACGGATGTGATGGTACTTGATGTCGATGTGCTTGGTACGGCCATGGCTGACAGGATTCTTCGTCATCTTGATGCACGACTGGTTGTCTTCACGGATGACGAGGTCCGGTCCTGGTTCGTTTGCGGCCGCCAAAATCTCGCATAGCAGGCGATGCACCCACTTGCCTTCCTGGATGGCCAGACTCAGTGCGATGTATTCCGCTTCACTCGTCGACAGCGACACACTTGACTGCTTCTTGCTTCCCCAACTCACAGGAGCACCCATCAGCATGAAAGTGTAACCCGAAGTCGACTTGCGATCAGCGTGGTCGCCGGCCCAGTCCGCGTCCGAGTAGCCACGAAAATCGATCTTGTCGCTTGGCTGGAAGCGGAGTCCGTGCGACTTGGTCCCTTGCAAGTAACGAAAGATGCGCTTCACCGCCGTCCAATGTTCTTGCTGCGGATTCTCCGTGAAGCGCGAGACGTACCCCACAGCATACGCAATGTCCGGGCGCGTCGCAGTCGTCAAGTGCATCAAAGCTCCCACAGCTTCACGAAATGGAACGTCGATCTTGGCCGCTTCGCTGCTTGCGACAAGCCGAGTGCTCAAGTCGACCGGACTTGCTGTGGCCTTGCACTCATCCATGCCGAAGCGCTTGAGGATGTCGTTGACATACCGTCGCTGGCACATCGTCACGCTGCCATCCGATTCGTCCACCAGTTCGATGCCCAGTACAAAAGTACACTTGCCACTGTCGGTCATCTCGAAACGCGTCTTGAGGTCGGCCTTCGTCTGCGCAATCAACTCGAGCGAGCTGCCGGTGACCAACACGTCATCCACGTAGACCAGCACGAGCACACAGTGACCGTCGACAACCTTGATGTAGAGACATGGGTCGAACGCCGACACTTCAAAACCGATGAAGCATACGAACTCGTCGAAAGTCTCGTTCCACACACGTGAAGCTTGCTTGAGACCGTAGATCGCCTTCACCAACTCGAGACAGTCGAAGTCGCCATCCATCTCGACGCCTTCTGGTATCACGCAGTACACCTTCTCCTTCATCACTCCGTAGAGAAAGGCTGTCACCACATCGAGTTGGTCCAGTGGCCAGTCGAAATACTTGGTGATCGCGATCACCATACGCAGTGTCACGTACTTGACCACGGGCGAGAACGTCTCTGTGTAGTCGATGCCGTACTTCTGCTTGAAGCCCTTGACAACGAGACGCGCCTTGAATTTCTCGACCGATCCATCTGCTTTGCGCTTGATCTTGAACACCCACTTGGTGCCGATCGCGCCTTGGCCTCTTGGCAGTTTTGCCGCACGGAAAACTCCACGAAGTTGCATCGACTTGAGTTCCGCCTTCACAGCATTTCGCCAGTGAGCTTGATCAGGACCATTGATCGCATCTTGAAAAGTCACAGGTTCTGCTAGGTCCGTTGCTTCCACTGCGTTTGCACTGGCACGCCAAAATGTTGGAGGCGTCGAGTCGTCATCTTGATCGTAGACGCTTGCATCTTATTCGTCATCAGACATTGTTTCTGGAGCACTTGATCGTCGTTTCTGGTGACGGTTGTGTTGATTGGTGAAAAGCTTGACGACCGAAACTGGGAGTGATGCTGGGAGTCCACTCGGAAGACCGGAGAAGAGACTTGGGGGGTAGATGGAAGATTGGAAAGTGATTGATTATCGGGGCTTACTACTTACTACATGATTTATATGTGGTGCACATATAAATCATGTGAAGCGTCTCATCATCCTACGCGTCTAATCAACCATGGTAATTACCGTAAGAACTACGTCGTAAATACTAAGCTGAACAGGCGGTTCGGATTGGACCGGTCACGGTTTCCAATACTGGTAGAAACCGATGACCGTCAACACGCCCCCTCAATCCGAACTCGCACGAATGCCGAGAGCCGTCGTCAAGTCCTTGTGACGAGGTCCACAAAGTCCTTTGGTCATGATGTCAGCCATCATCACGGAAGTCTCGCAATACTCGAGCTGCACTTCACCGCGCTTGACCTCATCACGGATGTGATGGTACTTGATGTCGATGTGCTTGGCGCGGCCATGATTCACCTGATTCTTCGTCATCTTGATGCACGACTGGTTGTCTTCACGGATGACGAGGTCCGGTCCTGGTTCGTTTGCGGCCGCCAAAATCTCGCATAGCAGGCGATGCACCCACTTGCCTTCCTGGATGGCCAGACTCAGTGCGATGTATTCCGCTTCACTCGTCGACAGCGACACACTTGACTGCTTCTTGCTTCCCCAACTCACAGGAGCACCCATCAGCATGAAAGTGTAACCCGAAGTCGACTTGCGATCAGCGTGGTCGCCGGCCCAGTCCGCGTCCGAGTAGCCACGAAAATCGATCTTGTCGCTTGGCTGGAAGCGGAGTCCGTGCGACTTGGTCCCTTGCAAGTAACGAAAGATGCGCTTCACCGCCGTCCAATGTTCTTGCTGCGGATTCTCCGTGAAGCGCGAGACGTACCCCACAGCATACGCAATGTCCGGGCGCGTCGCAGTCGTCAAGTGCATCAAAGCTCCCACAGCTTCACGAAATGGAACGTCGATCTTGGCCGCTTCGCTGATTGCGACAATCCGAGTGCTCAAGTCGACCGGACTTGCTGTGGCCTTGCACTCATCCATGCCGAAGCGCTTGAGGATGTCGTTGACATACCGTCGCTGGCACATCGTCACGCTGCCATCCGATTCGTCCACCAGTTCGATGCCCAGTACAAAAGTACACTTGCCACTGTCGGTCATCTCGAAACGCGTCTTGAGGTCGGCCTTCGTCTGCGCAATCAACTCGAGCGAGCTGCCGGTGACCAACACGTCATCCACGTAGACCAGCACGAGCACACAGTGACCGTCGACAACCTTGATGTAGAGACATGGGTCGAACGCCGACACTTCAAAACCGATGAAGCATACGAACTCGTCGAAAGTCTCGTTCCACACACGTGAAGCTTGCTTGAGACCGTAGATCGCCTTCACCAACTCGAGACAGTCGAAGTCGCCATCCATCTCGACGCCTTCTGGTATCACGCAGTACACCTTCTCCTTCATCACTCCGTAGAGAAAGGCTGTCACCACATCGAGTTGGTCCAGTGGCCAGTCGAAATACTTGGTGATCGCGATCACCATACGCAGTGTCACGTACTTGACCACGGGCGAGAACGTCTCTGTGTAGTCGATGCCGTACTTCTGCTTGAAGCCCTTGACAACGAGACGCGCCTTGAATTTCTCGACCGATCCATCTGCTTTGCGCTTGATCTTGAACACCCACTTGGTGCCGATCGCGCCTTGGCCTCTTGGCAGTTTTGCCGCACGGAAAACTCCACGAAGTTGCATCGACTTGAGTTCCGCCTTCACAGCATTTCGCCAGTGAGCTTGATCAGGACCATTGATCGCGTCTTGAAAAGTCACAGGTTCTGCTAGGTCCGTTGCTTCCACTGCGTTTGCACTGGCACGCCAAAATGTTGGAGGCGTCGAGTCGTCATCTTGATCGTAGACGCTTGCATCTTCTTCGTCATCAGACATTGTTTCTGGAGCACTTGATCGTCGTTTCTGGTGACGGTTGTGTTGATTGGTGAAAAGCTTGACGACCGAAACTGGGAGTGATGCTGGGAGTCCACTCGGAAGACCGGAGAAGACACTTGGGGGGTAGATGGAAGATTGGAAAGTGATTGATTATCGGGGCTTACTACTTACTACATGATTTATATGTGGTGCACATATAAATCATGTGAAGCGTCTCATCATCCTACGCGTCTAATCAACCATGGTAATTACCGTAAGAACTACGTCGTAAATACTAAGCTGAACAGGCGGTTCGGATTGGACCGGTCACGGTTTCCAATACTGGTAGAAACCGATGACCGTCAACACGCCCCCTCAATCCGAACTCGCACGAATGCCGAGAGCCGTCGTCAAGTCCTTGTGACGAGGTCCACAAAGTCCTTTGGTCATGATGTCAGCCATCATCACGGAAGTCTCGCAATACTCGAGCTGCACTTCACCGCGCTTGACCTCATCACGGATGTGATGGTACTTGATGTCGATGTGCTTGGCGCGGCCATGATTCACCGGATTCTTCGTCATCTTGATGCACGACTGGTTGTCTTCACGGATGACGAGGTCCGGTCCTGGTTCGTTTGCGGCCGCCTAAATCTCGCATAGCAGGCGATGCACCCACTTGCCTTCCTGGATGGCCAGACTCAGTGCGATGTATTCCGCTTCACTCGTCGACAGCGACACACTTGACTGCTTCTTGCTTCCCCAACTCACAGGAGCACCCATCAGCATGAAAGTGTAACCCGAAGTCGACTTGCGATCAGCGTGGTCGCCGGCCCAGTCCGCGTCCGAGTAGCCACGAAAATCGATCTTGTCGCTTGGCTGGAAGCGGAGTCCGTGCGACTTGGTCCCTTGCAAGTAACGAAAGATGCGCTTCACCGCCGTCCAATGTTCTTGCTGCGGATTCTCCGTGAAGCGCGAGACGTACCCCACAGCATACGCAATGTCCGGGCGCGTCGCAGTCGTCAAGTGCATCAAAGCTCCCACAGCTTCACGAAATGGAACGTCGATCTTGGCCGCTTCGCTGATTGCGACAATCCGAGTGCTCAAGTCGACCGGACTTGCTGTGGCCTTGCACTCATCCATGCCGAAGCGCTTGAGGATGTCGTTGACATACCGTCGCTGGCACATCGTCACGCTGCCATCCGATTCGTCCACCAGTTCGATGCCCAGTACAAAAGTACACTTGCCACTGTCGGTCATCTCGAAACGCGTCTTGAGGTCGGCCTTCGTCTGCGCAATCAACTCGAGCGAGCTGCCGGTGACCAACACGTCATCCACGTAGACCAGCACGAGCACACAGTGACCGTCGACAACCTTGATGTAGAGACATGGGTCGAACGCCGACACTTCAAAACCGATGAAGCATACGAACTCGTCGAAAGTCTCGTTCCACACACGTGAAGCTTGCTTGAGACCGTAGATCGCCTTCACCAACTCGAGACAGTCGAAGTCGCCATCCATCTCGACGCCTTCTGGTATCACGCAGTACACCTTCTCCTTCATCACTCCGTAGAGAAAGGCTGTCACCACATCGAGTTGGTCCAGTGGCCAGTCGAAATACTTGGTGATCGCGATCACCATACGCAGTGTCACGTACTTGACCACGGGCGAGAACGTCTCTGTGTAGTCGATGCCGTATTTCTGCTTGAAACCCTTCGCAACAAGACGCGCCTTGAACTTCTCGATCAATCTATCCGCTTTGCACTTGATCTTGAACACCACTTGGTACCGATCGCGCCTTGGCCTCTTGGCAGTTTTGCCGCACGGAAAACTCCACGAAGCTGCATCGACTCGAGTTCCGCCTTCACAGCATTTCGCCAGTGAGCTTGATCAGGACCATTGATCGCGTCTTGAAAAGTCACAGGTTCTGCTAGGTCCGTTGCTTCCACTGCGTTTGCACTGGCACGCCAAAATGTTGGAGGCGTCGAGTCGTCATCTTGATCGTAGACGCTTGCATCTTATTCGTCATCAGACATTGTTTCTGGAGCACTTGATCGTCGTTTCTGGTGACGGTTGTGTTGATTGGTGAAAAGCTTGACGACCGAAACTGGGAGTGATGCTGGGAGTCCACTCGGAAGACCGGAGAAGAGACTTGGGGGGGTAGATGGAAGATTGGAAAGTGATTGATTATCGGGGCTTACTACTTACTACATGATTTATATGTGGTGCACATATAAATCATGTGAAGCGTCTCATCATCCTACGCGTCTAATCAACCATGGTAATTACCGTAAGAACTACGTCGTAAATACTAAGCTGAACAGGCGGTTCGGATTGGACCGGTCACGGTTTCCAATACTGGTAGAAACCGATGACCGTCAACACGCCCCCTCAATCCGAACTCGCACGAATGCCGAGAGCCGTCGTCAAGTCCTTGTGACGAGGTCCACAAAGTCCTTTGGTCATGATGTCAGCCATCATCACGGAAGTCTCGCAATACTCGAGCTGCACTTCACCGCGCTTGACCTCATCACGGATGTGATGGTACTTGATGTCGATGTGCTTGGCGCGGCCATGATTCACCTGATTCTTCGTCATCTTGATGCACGACTGGTTGTCTTCACGGATGACGAGGTCCGGTCCTGGTTCGTTTGCGGCCGCCAAAATCTCGCATAGCAGGCGATGCACCCACTTGCCTTCCTGGATGGCCAGACTCAGTGCGATGTATTCCGCTTCACTCGTCGACAGCGACACACTTGACTGCTTCTTGCTTCCCCAACTCACAGGAGCACCCATCAGCATGAAAGTGTAACCCGAAGTCGACTTGCGATCAGCGTGGTCGCCGGCCCAGTCCGCGTCCGAGTAGCCACGAAAATCGATCTTGTCGCTTGGCTGGAAGCGGAGTCCGTGCGACTTGGTCCCTTGCAAGTAACGAAAGATGCGCTTCACCGCCGTCCAATGTTCTTGCTGCGGATTCTCCGTGAAGCGCGAGACGTACCCCACAGCATACGCAATGTCCGGGCGCGTCGCAGTCGTCAAGTGCATCAAAGCTCCCACAGCTTCACGAAATGGAACGTCGATCTTGGCCGCTTCGCTGCTTGCGACAATCCGAGTGCTCAAGTCGACCGGACTTGCTGTGGCCTTGCACTCATCCATGCCGAAGCGCTTGAGGATGTCGTTGACATACCGTCGCTGGCACATCGTCACGCTGCCATCCGATTCGTCCACCAGTTCGATGTCCAGTACAAAAGTACACTTGCCACTGTCGGTCATCTCGAAACGCGTCTTGAGGTCGGCCTTCGTCTGCGCAATCAACTCGAGCGAGCTGCCGGTGACCAACACGTCATCCACGTAGACCAGCACGAGCACACAGTGACCGTCGACAACCTTGATGTAGAGACATGGGTCGAACGCCGACACTTCAAAACCGATGAAGCATACGAACTCGTCGAAAGTCTCGTTCCACACACGTGAAGCTTGCTTGAGACCGTAGATCGCCTTCACCAACTCGAGACAGTCGAAGTCGCCATCCATCTCGACGCCTTCTGGTATCACGCAGTACACCTTCTCCTTCATCACTCCGTAGAGAAAGGCTGTCACCACATCGAGTTGGTCCAGTGGCCAGTCGAAATACTTGGTGATCGCGATCACCATACGCAGTGTCACGTACTTGACCACGGGCGAGAACGTCTCTGTGTAGTCGATGCCGTACTTCTGCTTGAAGCCCTTGACAACGAGACGCGCCTTGAATTTCTCGACCGATCCATCTGCTTTGCGCTTGATCTTGAACACCCACTTGGTGCCGATCGCGCCTTGGCCTCTTGGCAGTTTTGCCGCACGGAAAACTCCACGAAGTTGCATCGACTTGAGTTCCGCCTTCACAGCATTTCGCCAGTGAGCTTGATCAGGACCATTGATCGCGTCTTGAAAAGTCACAGGTTCTGCTAGGTCCGTTGCTTCCACTGCGTTTGCACTGGCACGCCAAAATGTTGGAGGCGTCGAGTCGTCATCTTGATCGTAGACGCTTGCATCTTCTTCGTCATCAGACATTGTTTCTGGAGCACTTGATCGTCGTTTCTGGTGACGGTTGTGTTGATTGGTGAAAAGCTTGACGACCGAAACTGGGAGTGATGCTGGGAGTCCACTCGGAAGACCGGAGAAGACACTTGGGGGGTAGATGGAAGATTGGAAAGTGATTGATTATCGGGGCTTACTACTTACTACATGATTTATATGTGGTGCACATATAAATCATGTGAAGCGTCTCATCATCCTACGCGTCTAATCAACCATGGTAATTACCGTAAGAACTACGTCGTAAATACTAAGCTGAACAGGCGGTTCGGATTGGACCGGTCACGGTTTCCAATACTGGTAGAAACCGATGACCGTCAACACGCCCCTCAATCCGAACTCGCACGAATGCCGAGAGCCGTCGTCAAGTCCTTGTGACGAGGTCCACAAAGTCCTTTGGTCATGATGTCAGCCATCATCACGGAACTCTCGCAATACTCGAGCTGCACTTCACCGCGCTTGACCTCATCACGGATGTGATGGTACTTGATGTCGATGTGCTTGGCGCGGCCATGATTCACCGGATTCTTCGTCATCTTGATGCACGACTGGTTGTCTTCACGGATGACGAGGTCCGGTCCTGGTTCGTTTGCGGCCGCCAAAATCTCGCATAGCAGGCGATGCACCCACTTGCCTTCCTGGATGGCCAGACTCAGTGCGATGTATTCCGCTTCACTCGTCGACAGCGACACACTTGACTGCTTCTTGCTTCCCCAACTCACAGGAGCACCCATCAGCATGAAAGTGTAACCCGAAGTCGACTTGCGATCAGCGTGGTCGCCGGCCCAGTCCGCGTCCGAGTAGCCACGAAAATCGATCTTGTCGCTTGGCTGGAAGCGGAGTCCGTGCGACTTGGTCCCTTGCAAGTAACGAAAGATGCGCTTCACCGCCGTCCAATGTTCTTGCTGCGGATTCTCCGTGAAGCGCGAGACGTACCCCACAGCATACGCAATGTCCGGGCGCGTCGCAGTCGTCAAGTGCATCAAAGCTCCCACAGCTTCACGAAATGGAACGTCGATCTTGGCCGCTTCGCTGCTTGCGACAAGCCGAGTGCTCAAGTCGACCGGACTTGGTGTGGCCTTGCACTCATCCATGCCGAAGCGCTTGAGGATGTCGTTGACATACCGTCGCTGGCACATCGTCACGCTGCCATCCGATTCGTCCACCAGTTCGATGTCCAGTACAAAAGTACACTTGCCACTGTCGGTCATCTCGAAACGCGTCTTGAGGTCGGCCTTCGTCTGCGCAATCAACTCGAGCGAGCTGCCGGTGACCAACACGTCATCCACGTAGACCAGCACGAGCACACAGTGACCGTCGACAACCTTGATGTAGAGACATGGGTCGAACGCCGACACTTCAAAACCGATGAAGCATACAAACTCGTCGAAAGTCTCGTTCCACACACGTGAAGCTTGCTTGAGACCGTAGATCGCCTTCACCAACTCGAGACAGTCGAAGTCGCCATCCATCTCGACGCCTTCTGGTATCACGCAGTACACCTTCTCCTTCATCACTCCGTAGAGAAAGGCTGTCACCACATCGAGTTGGTCCAGAGGCCAGTCGAAATACTTAGTGATCGCAAGAACCTTGCGTAAAGTCACATACTTCACCACCGGCGAGAACGTTTTTGTATAGTCGATGCCGTATTTCTTCTTGAATCCCTTCGCAACAAGACGCGCGTTGAACTTCTCGATCGATCCATTCGCCTTGCGCTTGATCTTGAACACCCACTTGGTACCGATCGCGCCTTGGCCTCTTGGCAGTTTTGCCGCACGGAAAACTCCACGAAGTTGCATCGACTTGAGTTTCGCCTTCACAGCATTTCGCCAGTGAGCTTGATCAGGACCATTGATCGCGTCTTGAAAAGTCACAGGTTCTGCTAGGTCCGTTGCTTCCACTGCGTTTGCACTGGCACGCCAAAATGTTGGAGGCGTCGAGTCGTCATCTTGATCGTAGACGCTTGCATCTTCTTCGTCATCAGACATTGTTTCTGGAGCACTTGGTCGTCGTTTCTGGTGACGGTTGTGTTGATTGGTGAAAAGCTTGACGACCGAAACTGGGAGTGATGCTGGGAGTCCACTCGGAAGACCGGAGAAGACACTTGGGGGTAGATGGAAGATTGGAAAGTGATTGATTATCGGGGCTTACTACTTACTACATGATTTATATGTGGTGCACATATAAATCATGTGAAGCGTCTCATCATCCTACGCGTCTAATCAACCATGGTAATTACCGTAAGAACTACATCGTAAATACTAAGCTGAACAGGCGGTTCGGATTGGACCGGTCACGGTTTCCAATACTGGTAGAAACCGATGACCGTCAACACGCCCCTCAATCCGAACTCGCACGAATGCCGAGAGCCGTCGTCAAGTCCTTGTGACGAGGTCCACAAAGTCCTTTGGTCATGATGTCAGCCATCATCACGGAAGTCTCGCAATACTCGAGCTGCACTTCACCGCGCTTGACCTCATCACGGATGTGATGGTACTTGATGTCGATGTGCTTGGCGCGGCCATGATTCACCGGATTCTTCGTCATCTTGATGCACGACTGGTTGTCTTCACGGATGACGAGGTCCGGTCCTGGTTCGTTTGCGGCCGCCAAAATCTCGCATAGCAGGCGATGCACCCACTTGCCTTCCTGGATGGCCAGACTCAGTGCGATGTATTCCGCTTCACTCGTCGACAGCGACACACTTGACTGCTTCTTGCTTCCCCAACTCACAGGAGCACCCATCAGCATGAAAGTGTAACCCGAAGTCGACTTGCGATCAGCGTGGTCGCCGGCCCAGTCCGCGTCCGAGTAGCCACGAAAATCGATCTTGTCGCTTGGCTGGAAGCGGAGTCCGTGCGACTTGGTCCCTTGCAAGTAACGAAAGATGCGCTTCACCGCCGTCCAATGTTCTTGCTGCGGATTCTCCGTGAAGCGCGAGACGTACCCCACAGCATACGCAATGTCCGGGCGCGTCGCAGTCGTCAAGTGCATCAAAGCTCCCACAGCTTCACGAAATGGAACGTCGATCTTGGCCGCTTCGCTGCTTGCGACAAGCCGAGTGCTCAAGTCGACCGGACTTGGTGTGGCCTTGCACTCATCCATGCCGAAGCGCTTGAGGATGTCGTTGACATACCGTCGCTGGCACATCGTCACGCTGCCATCCGATTCGTCCACCAGTTCGATGCCCAGTACAAAAGTACACTTGCCACTGTCGGTCATCTCGAAACGCGTCTTGAGGTCGGCCTTCGTCTGCGCAATCAACTCAAGCGAGCTGCCGGTGATCAACACGTCATCCACGTAGACCAGCACGAGCACACAGTGACCGTCGACAACCTTGATGTAGAGACATGGGTCGAACGCCGACACTTCAAAACCGATGAAGCATACGAACTCGTCGAAAGTCTCGTTCCACACACGTGAAGCTTGCTTGAGACCGTAGATCGCCTTCACCAACTCGAGACAGTCGAAGTCGCCATCCATCTCGACGCCTTCTGGTATCACGCAGTACACCTTCTCCTTCATCACTCCGTAGAGAAAGGCTGTCACCACATCGAGTTGGTCCAGTGGCCAGTCGAAATACTTGGTGATCGCGATCACCATACGCAGTGTCACGTACTTGACCACGGGCGAGAAAGTCTCTGTGTAGTCGATGCCGTATTTCTGCTTGAAACCCTTCGCAACAAGACGCGCCTTGAACTTCTCGATCAATCTATCCGCTTTGCACATGATCTTGAACACCACTTGGTACCGATCGCGCCTTGGCCTCTTGGCAGTTTTGCCGCACGGAAAACTCCACGAAGCTGCATCGACTCGAGTTCCGCCTTCACAGCATTTCGCCAGTGAGCTTGATCAAGACCATTGATCGCGTCTTGAAAAGTCACAGGTTCTGCTAGGTCCGTTGCTTCCACTGCGTTTGCACTTGCACGCCATAATGTTGGAGGCGTCGAGTCGTCATCTTGATCGTAGACGCTTGCATCTTCTTCGTCATCAGACATTGTTTCTGGAGCACTTGATCGTCGTTTCTGGTGACGGTTGGAGACGTGTTCCGGCGCACTTGCTTGTTCCAACCCAGTTCGAGGGCGAGCTGAACGTGACATGCCGGGTCTTGCTTCACTCTTGCGCTTGCCAGTCTGCTTGTAGACGGTTTGCGCACGTCATCCTCGTTGATCGCCAGGAGGTCGAGGTCCAACTCCGCATCTTCATCATCGTCACTTGGTCGGTCCATCGAAAAGTCAAAAGTCGATTCGTCGAAGGTGATGTCACGACTGATCACCACTTGGCCCGCCTCAATGTCGTACACTCGATAAGCTTTTGACGCTTCTTCGTAGCCCATGAACATCCCTTCACGAGCCTTTGGGTCCCACTTCAATCGCTTCTCCCTTGGTGTCAGGATAAACGCCCGACATCCAAACACGCGCATGTGCTTGACACTTGGTTTCGACTTGTACACGATCTCGAACGGAGTCTTGTGGTCGATCTTGGGTGAAGGCAGGCGGTTCTTGATGTAGATCGCCGTTATTGCCGCTTCAGCCCAGAAACACTTCTCCAGCTTTGCATGATGCAACAAGCTGCGTCCGATCGTGACGATGGTCCTTATCGCGCGTTCTGCGGTGCCGTTGGTCTGGTGTGCATACGGCACCGTGATCTGTTGTTCGATACCATCTTCGTAGAAGGTCTTGATCGAGTTGGTCGCAAACTCATGCGCTCCATCGTGCCGAACAAACTTGATCTTCGTGCCGAACTGAGTCTGAATCTTGATAATGTGGTTCTTGATACAGTCTTCGCTCTCAGACTTGGACTGCAGACAGAAGCCCTTCATGTAACCGCTGGCTTCGCCAACCACAAGAAGTAAGTATCTGCTGCCGCCGATCGAGACTTGTTCCATTGGCCCGCAGATGTCGAAGTGCAGCAACTCGAACACACCATATTGGCGTTTGTCACGGCTGGTTGGGAATGGTTTTTGGACCATCTTTCCTTGCTGGCAACCGCGACACACACTTGGACCAGTCGAGTTGAGAGGTGCCTTGGTGTCCTTGATCATGCCGGTGGCCACCATCTTGTGCAGAACTTCGAGGGGTGCATGACCCATGCGCGCATGCAAGTCGATAGTCCCATTGCGTGTTGCTGCATTTGCCGATCGTTGAGGAGTCCGCAGCCAGTAAAGTCCATCGACGAGATCCGCTGTTGCCACGACTTGTGTGGAATTCTTGCGCTTCACTTGCATCTTGGACCCATCGAACACGACTTGGAACCTGCCACCCTTGTTGATCTGTGGCACCGAAAGCAGATTCTTGCTCATACTTGGTACGAACAGTGCGTCCTTGATCTCGATGTCGCGTTCGTCACCATTGGGCAGAACCGCCCGTTCCATGATGGTTCCCACACCCTTGATCGCAGCCTTGCTGCCATCAGCCACTGATAGTTCGCCTTCCTCTCGCTCATTCAGGCTTGCAAACTTGGCCTTGTCGTTGCAGATGTAATGCGTCGCACCGCTGTCGACTGCCCACATCCCTGGCATATTCTTGCCCGTCGAAAGTCCAGCCTCCAGTGAAACCGCGAACGCAACTCGATCGTAGTTGTCGTCGTAGTTGCTATTGGTTCGCCACTGAACGTTGTTGGCTCCGCGTCCACGAGCATTGTTGCCGCCGCGTCGAGCTCCACCTTGATTTTCGTCCTTCTGCTTGGTCCAGCACCGCTCCGCCGTGTGCCCCAATTTTCCGCAGTATGCACACTGGCGAGGTTCACGCTCGGTACTGAACGCCTTTGCCGCGTCTTCAGTCTTCACCGATGTCGTCTTGTCACCTTGCCTCTTGATGTGCTCATTCGTGAGCACTCTCACGACGTCTCGCGATCGCAGTTCCGCGCTGCTCATCTCCAAGTTGAGAACGACGTTCTCGTAGCTCTTGGGGAGGCTGCGCAACAAGCAGATCGCCACGTCCTCGTCCTCCATCTTGGCGCCGATGCCGCTGATCTTCGCTCTGTAGTTGAGGACTTCATTACAGTGATGCATGACATTGCCACTTTCCGCTATCTCCATGCCGAACAGCTGTCGCTTCAAGGAGGTCCATAAACCACCTTCTGCGACCTACTATACAGTGTCTTCAAACGCACGCACGCAACTTATGCTATTTTGCTTTCATCCACCATACGATGAAAGTCGGCGTCCATGCGCAGTAACATCAGTCCGAGCGAACTGTTTTTCGTCTTGATATAATCGTCACTGTCGCGAGGATTTGAGAAGTTTGGCGTCGTCTCTCGGTTGACCACATGCCACGTCAACTTGGATTGGAACACGCCACACATGTAGCGTCTCCACGTCGCGAAATTGTCCCCATCAAATTTTTTGATGGAGATTCTGGTAATGGAACCTTGTGCAGAGGACATCTTGCTTGAGCACATAACCTAATAAAGTCTGACGAGCGCTGGGCGAGGATACAAAGGTTGAAGAAAGCTAAAGAAGTCTACACCACTAATTAAAGACGACTTGTGCTGTAGGAGGAATGTTTAGAAGTGATTGATTTACCGGTATTGTTGACGGTAATCGGTTTCTACCAGTATTGGTAACCGTGACCGGTCCAATCCGAACCGCCTGTTCAGCTTAGTATTTACGACGTAGTTCTTACGGTAATTACCATAGTTGATTAGACGTGTAAAATGATGAGACGCTTCACATGATTTATACGTGCACCACATATAAATCATGTAGTAAGTAGTAAGCCCCGATAATCAATCACTTTCCAATCTTCCATCTACCCCCCAAGTGTCTTCTCCGGTCTTCCGAGTGGACTCCCAGCATCCCTCCCAGTTTCGGTCGTCAAGCTTCACACCTTTCAACAGGTTATGAGCCCAAGCACGATGTCCTCTGCTCATGATGCCACCACCAAGATCTCCATTGACAAGTGCGACGGCGACAACTACGCGACGTGGAGCCGCTACATGCGTGGCGTGTTCCTGACCAAGTCGACGTGGCACGTGGTGAACCGAGAGACGTCGCCGACCGACGCGGACGATCGCGCCATGGACGACCACGTCAAGGCCAACAACATCGCTTTCGGACTGATGTTGCTGCACATGGACGCAGACTACCATCACATCGTCGGTGACTGTGAAGAGGCGTGGGTCGCGTGGGCGCGTTTGAAGACGCTGTACGGCGGGTCGCAGAAGGCTGGACGCATCTACTTGAAGCGCCAGCTGTTCAGCATGGAGATGGCGGAAGGCGGCAATGTGATGCATCATTGCAACGAAGTCCTCAACATCAGCGCGAAGCTCAGCAGCATCGGCGCCAATATGGAGGACGAGGACGTGGCGATCTGCTTGTTGCGCAGCCTCCCCAAGAGCTACGAGAACGTCGTTCTCAACTTGGAGATGAGCAGCGCGGAACTGCGATCGCGAGACGTCGTGAGAGTGCTCACGAATGAGCACATCAAGAGGCAAGGTGACAAGACGACATCGGTGAAGACTGAAGACGCGGCAAAGGCGTTCAGTACCGAGCGTGAACCTCGCCAGTGTGCATACTGCGGAAAATTGGGGCACACGGCGGAGCGGTGCTGGACCAAGCAGAAGGACGAAAATCAAGGTGGAGCTCGACGCGGCGGCAACAATACTCGCGGACGCGGAGCCAACAACGTTCAGTGGCGAACCAACAGCAACTACGACGACAACTACGATCGAGTTGCGTTCGCGGTTTCACTGGAGGCTGGACTTTCGACGGGCTAGAATATGCCAGGGATGTGGGCAGTCGACAGCGGTGCGACGCATCACATCTGCAACGACAAGGCCAAGTTTGCAAGCCTGAATGAGCGAGAGGAAGGCGAACTATCAGTGGCTGATGGCAGCAAGGCTGCGATCAAGGGTGTGGGAACCATCATGGAACGGGCGGTTCTGCCCAATGGTGACGAACGCGACATCGAGATCAAGGACGCACTGTTCGTACCAAGTATGAGCAAGAATCTGCTTTCGGTGCCACAGATCAACAAGGGTGGCAGGTTCCAAGTCGTGTTCGATGGGTCCAAGATGCAAGTGAAGCGCAAGAATTCCACACAAGTCGTGGCAACAGCGGATCTCGTCGATGGACTTTACTGGCTGCGGACTCCTCAACGATCGGCAAATGCAGCAACACGCAATGGGACTATCGACTTGCATGCGCGCATGGGTCATGCACCCCTCAAAGTTCTGCACAAGATGGTGGCCACCGGCATGATCAAGGACGCCAAGGCACCTCTCAACTCGACTGGTCCAAGTGTGTGTCGCGGTTGCCAGCAAGGAAAGATGGTCCAAAAACCATTCCCAACCAGCCATGACAAACGCCAATATGGTGTGTTCGAGTTGCTGCACTTCGACATCTGCGGGCCAATGGAACAAGTCTCGATCGGCGGCAGCACTTTACTTCTTGTGGTTGGCGAAGCCAGCGGTTACATGAAGGGCTTCTGTCTGCAGTCCAAGTCTGAGAGCGAAGACTGTATCAAGAACCACATTATCAAGATTCAGACTCAGTTCGGCACGAAGATCAAGTTTGTTCGGCACGATGGAGCGCATGAGTTTGCGACCAACTCGATCAAGACCTTCTACGAAGATGGTATCGAACAACAGATCACGGTGCCGTATGCACACCAGACCAACGGCACCGCAGAACGCGCGATAAGGACCATCGTCACGATCGGACGCAGCTTGTTGCATCATGCAAAGCTGGAGAAGTGTTTCTGGGCTGAAGCGGCAATAACGGCGATCTACATCAAGAACCGCCTGCCTTCACCCAAGATCGACCACAAGACTCCGTTCGAGATCGTGTACAAGTCGAAACCAAGTGTCAAGCACATGCGCGTGTTTGGATGTCGGGCGTTTATCCTGACACCAAGGGAGAAGCGATTGAAGTGGGACCCAAAGGCTCGTGAAGGGATGTTCATGGGCTACGAAGAAGCGTCAAAAGCTTATCGAGTGTACGACATTGAGGCGGGCCAAGTGGTGATCAGTCGTGACATCACCTTCGACGAATCGACTTTTGACTTTTCGATGGACCGACCAAGTGACGATGATGAAGATGCGGAGTTGGACCTCGACCTCCTGGCGATCAACGAGGATGACGTGCGCAAACCGTCTACAAGCAGACTGGCAAGCGCAAGAGTGAAGCAAGACCCGGCATGTCACGTTCAGCTCGCCCTCGAACTGGGTTGGAACAAGCAAGTGCGCCGGAACACGTCTCCAACCGTCACCAGAAACGACGATCAAGTGCTCCAGAAACAATGTCTGATGACGAAGAAGATGCAAGCGTCTACGATCAAGATGACGACTCGACGCCTCCAACATTTTGGCGTGCAAGTGCAAACGCAGTGGAAGCAACGGACCTAGCAGAACCTGTGACTTTTCAAGACGCGATCAATGGTCCTGATCAAGCTCACTGGCGAAATGCTGTGAAGGCGGAACTCAAGTCGATGCAACTTCGTGGAGTTTTCCGTGCGGCAAAACTGCCAAGAGGCCAAGGCGCGATCGGCACCAAGTGGGTGTTCAAGATCAAGCGCAAAGCGGATGGACCGGTCGAGAAATACAAGGCGTGTCTCGTTGCCAAGGGCTTCAAGCAGAAGTACGGCATCGACTACACAGAGACGTTCTCGCCCGTGGTCAAGTACGTGACACTGCGTATGGTGATCGCGATCACCAAGTATTTCGACTGGCCACTGGACCAACTCGATGTGGTGACAGCCTTTCTCTACGGAGTGATGAAGGAGAAGGTGTACTGCGTGATACCAGAAGGCGCCGAGATGGATGGCGACTTCGACTGTCTCGAGTTGGTGAAGGCGATCTACGGTCTCAAGCAAGCTTCACGTGTGTGGAACGAGACTTTCGACGAGTTCGTATGCTTCATCGGTTTTGAAGTGTCGGCGTTCGACCCATGTCTCTACATCAAGGTTGTCGACGGTCACTGTGTGCTCGTGCTGGTCTACGTGGATGACGTGTTGGTCACCGGCAGCTCGCTCGACTTGATTGCGCAGACGAAGGCCGACCTCAAGACGCGTTTCGAGATGACCGACAGTGGCAAGTGTACTTTTGTACTGGACATCGAACTGGTGGACGAATCGGATGGCAGCGTGACGATGTGCCAGCGACGGTATGTCAACGACATCCTCAAGCGCTTCGGCATGGATGAGTGCAAGGCCACAGCAAGTCCGGTCGACTTGAGCACTCGGATTGTCGCAAGCAGCGAAGCGGCCAAGATCGACGTTCCATTTCGTGAAGCTGTGGGAGCTTTGATGCACTTGACGACTGCGACGCGCCCGGACATTGCGTATGCTGTGGGGTACGTCTCGCGCTTCACGGAGAATCCGCAGCAAGAACATTGGACGGCGGTGAAGCGCATCTTTCGTTACTTGCAAGGGACCAAGTCGCACGGACTCCGCTTCCAGCCAAGCGACAAGATCGACTTTCGTGGCTACTCGGACGCGGACTGGGCCGGCGACCACGCTGATCGCAAGTCGACTTCGGGTTACACTTTCATGCTGATGGGTGCTCCTGTGAGTTGGGGAAGCAAGAAGCAGTCAAGTGTGTCGCTGTCGACGAGTAAAGCGGAATACATCGCACTGAGTCTGGCCATCCAGGAAGGCAAGTGGGTGCATCGCCTGCTATGCGAGATTTTGGCGGCCGCAAACGAACCACGACCGGACCTCGTCATCCGTGAAGACAACCAGTCGTGCATCAAGATGACGAAGAATCCGGTGAATCATGGCCGCGCCAAGCACATCGACATCACGAACCATCACATCCGTGATGAGGTCAAGCGCGGTGAAGTGCAGCTCGAGTATTGCGAGACTTCCGTGATGATGGCGGACATCATGACCAAGGGACTTTCTGGACCTCGCCATAAGGACTTGACGACGGCTCTCGGCATTCGTGCGAGTTTGAATTGGGGGGGCGTGTTGACGGTCATCGGTTTCTACTAGTGTTGGTAACCGTGACCGGTCCAATCCGAACCGCCTGTTCAGCTTGGTATTTACGACGTAGTTCTTACGGTAATTACCACAGTTGATTGGACGCGTAGGATGATGAGACGCTTCACATGATTTATATGTGCACCACATATAAATCATGTAGTTGTGGTGAAGTCGATCTCACAAAATTGCTTGTATGAGTGTCGATCTTCCACTTGCCCAGACTTGCCGACTCACGGAGGGGGTACTCCGATCCGTGCCTTGTTGTATGACCTTGTGCTCACCTTGTGTACCCGTCGGTTGGGCTGGCTTGAGCTCTTCGTAACGGCCTTGGGAGATGTCGATCTCGCTGAGAGGTTGGGTTGAGGGTTCGCTTCCGGTGCGAAAATCTTCACACCACGAACGGGGGTTCTGCGATCCCGATCTTGGATCGCACCAATCTTGATTTGTCTTCGAGATCGGGGTCTTTGCTGTGCGGAAATCTTCACTCAGCAAATAAAAGTCCTGCGTCGATCTTGCCTTGGGATCGGTCCGATCTGGTCTTGAAATCGGCCGATCTTGCCGGAAGTGCGCAATCTGGGTAGATCGGTGTCTTGTTACGCCAAAATGAAACGTGCCGATCTGTCCAGGGGATCGCTTCAATCCTGCTCGGTCTTGTCTTGAACGCCTTGTCCAGATCTTCTGACCACTTGAGCCGTCTCGCGATCCTGTGTCCAAAATCCTTTTCCTTTTCCGTTGTGTGCTGCTACCCTAGCAGTTGAGTTGAGTGTGAGTACTTGATCGATCCGGGCCAGATATCCGGGATCGCTCTTCTCGATCTTGGCCAACAATCCAAGATCGGTCTTCTGTGTCCCTGTAACACGCGTGCCTTAACCCGCCGGGGAAGCCAAATCAATCTTGCCTGGAGAAGAGGGAGGATAATGTGCGTCGTGAGCAGAAGAAGTAGAGTTCAAGTCTGTTTATTAACCAACCAAATTACTATCCAACCTACCCTTAAGCCTATTCTTAACTATAGGTCACTCTTCAAACCGATATCGCCTTGAATCTGGATCGCCCCCTTGCCACGTGTCGAAATTTCGTGCCCTGTACTCCAATGATAGCGCCAATATTCCCGATACCGTACCTGAGCGCCAAAAGAGGACCAAATCCCAAATGGGGTACCAAATACCCATTTTTGGTACCCAAAAGCCCAAAATAGTGCCCAAATGTCGAAGGCGTCTAAATCCATTTTGCGACGTCAATTTAACCGGCTTCCACTGGCTCTTTCGATCTGAACTTTTGAGACATCACTCATGGACCTTCAACAAGCATGTTTGTCATGATCCAAAATTATCATCAACGATACATCCATAATCAGTGGGGATCATGACCGATCTGATGCCCAATTCGAGATTGTTGAGGATCGACACAGTACAATCCGGCCATATATGTTCTTCCGTTCATTGTGTGCACTCCGATGCTTTATCAAAATGATTCTGCTTCAACATCCACATCCTTGCCTCTGATCAGCCTTCAGAGTGGTCGTTCGGTTCAATCCAGTCCCTCGTCCCAGATCGCACCGTGGAAATCACCCCTTGCTACGCCCCGTCTCAAACCACGTCGCATCGCCTGGTCCCAGGCGTACTTTTCTCAAATGATTCTGCTTCAACATCCACATCCTTTCCTTTGATCAGCCTTTAGAGTGGTCGTTCGGTTCAATCCAGTCCCTCGTCCCAGATCGCACCGTTGGAATCACCCCTTTCTACGCCCCGTCTCAAATCACGTTGCATCGCCTGGTCCTAGGCGTACCTCTTCCGCCAGTGGGTGACATCTTAACTGGGTGGAAACCGATCCACGTCCCATCATTTGATTAGTGACTTTACCACAGTTACACCTTCGTCGCAGAGTCATATCCCATCACCCGGTCCCAGATCCTTGTCCCAGATTGTTCCATGTAAATCGTTCCAGATCGCTCCGTCCCAGGTCGATCCATACCCATTAGTCTAACGACAGTTGGATCGGTTCGCCGATCCCGTTAAGATCATCTTCCACCTCCGTATTGGATCGCCGAGTCTCATGGCCTCCTTTTCCACCAGTAAGCGGCGCTTTAAAGATGTGGCCACCGATCCTCGTACAAAATTTGAGTAGTGACTTTGCCACAACCGCCCCCTGTACTGAAGTCTTTTGTACAGCAATCGACCTCAGTACAGTCACTCATCAACTTCGTTCCAAGCACTCAAGTCCGTCTCATGGCCTCTCCGACGCATCCACCCACCTCGGCGGTCTCTTCAGAAGGATCCACCATGTTTCTGTCTCGCCTATTGGGATCATCCCGGATCGCAGATCCCTTGTCTGCAGGACAAGTTCAAACCTGCTCCATCGTCTTAGTCCAAGGTCGATATCCAAGCCCGATCGTCTTTCATAATCGTGTAAGTCATTCAATCGTCTTCTTTGTGGTACTTCAATTCTTTGCAGCTTCCACGATCTCGATCCTCATCGCTCCACATCATTCAGGAAGGTAATTCACTTGACTATCTCCATACTCACATACAAAAACCTCATCCACCAGCATGTGCTACCGTCTAGCACATCTTTCAACCCCTACATCCGCATATGCTACCTCCCGCATACTTGTTCGTACTGTTAAGGTTCGTCCGACTTGCCTTCATGAGACTGCATTACGTCGAAACGGTTTCGACTCACTCGGTTCCGCTCAAACTCTTGCAAGATCGCCCCACAACTTAGATCGGCCTCGTCCACCCAACTTAGATCGGGATATCCCTTCCACTTCACCAGAAACTGCCGGTGTACTCGCCCATAACGGGTTTTTCTACCAGATCGCACGTCCAATATTGCCTCTACTTCGTATTCCCCTTCTTCAAGATCGCCATCCCAACTGTCTTCTGGCAGCAGAGCTTCATCGAAATCCAAGCGATCTGATTCCTCTATCGTAAGCTGATCCTTCGGGCGTTCAGGGAACGTCTTTACCTTTTTAGCTTCGATATATGTACAATCGGAAATAACCGATATGGGGTTCCAGCGATCTCCAATTTTACAGCATGATCTCCACATACGTCCGCAACTCGGAATGGCCCATGCCACATGTGCGCTAGCTTCTTCGCATATCCCTCTTTAACTCGGTCCAGGTATAGCCAAACTTGCGCTCCTACTTCGATCTCGTGTGGTTCCAGATCTTCGTTGTGTCGATCTGCTCGCTCCTGGATCGCGGCTTGTAAACGATCGTTCACTGCAGATCGGGCTCGCTGGTATTGTCTTTGGATTTTGTATCTCCATCTCTTTGGATCGCGATCTCGTGTCCCCGTATTCCCCACTGGTAGCGTAGCCTCCAAAGTCGATCGCGGGTCCCACCCATGAATCAGATAAAATGGAGTATCCCCCCGGATCCGATCTTGTGCAGTGTTAATGGCAAATGTGAGCCGCTCAGCATACTCATCCCAGTCTCGCTGGTCAACTTCAGCCACGTACATCTTGAGCGAATGTGTCAGGGTTTGCACCATTCGTTCGGCTGTTCCATTTGCTTGTGGCCTGTAAGCCATAGTAGCACGCTGTTTTTGTCCTACGATCCGACTGAAGGCTCGAAAGAAGTCGGACATAAATCCCGGTTCTCGATCGTGCCTGATAGCCTCGCTAGCTCCGAAGCGTCGAAACACACATTCTTCGTAATTCTCCGCTATTGTTTGTGCCGTCCGAGAGGAGCTAGCCTTTGCAATCACATATCCCGAGAAAAGGTCGACCCAAATGAGCAGTTCGGTGTTCCCCTTGATGGACTTGGGCAACGACGGTATATGATCCATGGCGATGATCTGGAATGGATAGGTTGCGTGTAGATTGCCCGGGGATTTCCCATGAATCATCGGGTTTCCTTTCCCGGTCTCACAGTCGGTACATTCGCCCACATATCGTTGAACGCTCCGATACAGTCCTCTCCAATGAAATCGCGATCTGATCCTCTGATAGGTTCGGCCAATACCCTGATGGCCTCCTTCCAGACTCGTGTGATAGTGATGCAAAAATCCTGCTGCAACGTCTCAGGGATCACCAACCGCATCAAACCATCGCGATCTTCCGACTCTCTTTTCGCCATGGGGCAAAAAAATAGCAGATTGTTCTCATCGATCTCGTATTCCGGCGCCAGTTTGGCGCACATCTTCACTTCTACCGCATCCAAGTTTGATACATCGCCACTTAGATATGTCTTGAGATTGACAATCCAACGCTCTTCATCTTGAGCTTGGACAATTCGTTGAATCCTGATCCTCTGTACTATCTCCTCCTGTATCACTTCAGGTTCATGACGTATCCTCCTGGCTGATCTCGCGATCGCAGTTACCCGAGCTAGCTGACCATCTTGCTTGGGCTTCAACAATTCCTCGAGACGGTTCAGAGTCATCAGATCTTGCCGATCCTCTTCAGCTACAACCGTTCTTCCCTTTTCGCTCTGCAATGCTGTGCTGGCTAGTCGATCTGCGCTCTGATTCCACTCTCGCTTCATATGCAGAAACTCGTGACTAGGCCATGACTGCAGCTTCTCCAACGCTTTGTGTCTCAGAAGCTGAAGGCCCGGTGCCTTGCAGTCGATCTCACCGCGCATCTGTCGAATCACCAGACTGGAATCTCCACACAGTATTACTCGCCCCCTATCCAGATCGGCGAGTAGCTCAAAGCACAGTAGCAAGCCATTATACTCAGCTTCGTTCACAGTCAGATCGTGAACATATCTCGATTCGGCCGCCACGATCGTCCATTCGGGTAACTTCCATATCACGGCACTGAGCGACCCTCCTTTCTTTTTTATCCTAGCCGATCCATCGAAACTGGCTACCAGCAACTCCTCATCTGTTTCCACCGTTGGAGGAGGCATCGATATTTTGAGTCGACAGTCTTTTCGTGGGGAGATCGCAATCAGCATCTCTTCCACCTCTCCTCTCGGAGTGATACTCGCTGCTAACATGCCCAGGATTTCTTCCTCTCCTCTTTCACATTTCTTCACCTCCATAGTCCAATTTGACAACAAAGCAGCCCACCGTCCTAATCTCCCGTTGAGCCCTCGAGACTGCATCAACCAGGCTAACGTAGAATGTCGGGTCAGTACAGTGATCTCCCGCGAGGCAAGCGTAGTATAGCATACATCCAACACACGAAGTAGCGCCAGCACTTCTTTTTCTACCATTCCGTAGTTAAGCTCATTAGGCTTTAAAGTGCGGCTAGTAAACGTCACCGGATGATAAACGCCATCGTACTCCTGTATCAGGGCCGCTGAGACAGCCCACTTGCTAGCGTAGACCACGATTACGGGGGACCGATCTGGGTCGAAATGCTTGAGCATGGGAGCTGTAGCTATCTTAGCTTTTAGCATAGTGAAAGCAACCTTGGCTTCCGTCCATCGACCCTCGTTGGAGCATTCGTCTCCTGCTGCAAGCTGAGATCGGCCGATCTCGAAGAAATCCGATTCTCTTAACTCATACAACACCGCGGCATACACCGCGAAATCCTCAATGAAGCGACGGTAGTAGTTCAAGCTCCCGAGAAAGGATTGCATAGCTCGTAGCGTGCTAGGAAACGGGATGTTAACCAACGACTCTAGGTTCTTGGGCTGAGCCTCCAGACCATCCATCGACACTCGATGTCCCAAATAATCGACCTTACGGCACCCCCAAAAGCTCTTCGTGAGGCTGATAGACAGATTCCACTTATCACATGCCTCCAGCAACCGTTCTACTTTTGTGTACAAAGATCCCCATGACGTGGCTGGTATGAGAATATCGTCAATGTAAGATCGGCGTCCCAGTATAGACGGTCGTCGATCTGTCTCAGGTTCTCCATCTTTGAACACGTCGATCGGGCCATCAGAAGCTGATCTCTGGCCGATCTTGAGATATCCATACAACGCATTGTCCACCAGACGTTGGTAGATCTGGGGCGCGTTCTTAAGCCCAAAAGGCATTCGCAGCCACTCGAACAAGCCAAACGGTGTGACAAACGCTGAGATCAGTTTTGCTCGTTCAGTCATTTCGACGACCCAAAATCCACTAGCCATGTCTAGCGAACAGTACCATAGAGCTTTATCCAGATCTTCCAACAGATCGCTGATCAACGGCATGGGATAAACCATCAGACGCGTCAGCTGGTTAACTCTTCGATAATCAATGCAAAGGCGAATATCCACTCCGTTCTTCTTGATGATCACCACTATCGGAGACGCCCAAGGTGACGTGGATGGCTGAACGATTTTGGCTGCTAATAGTCCTTTGATGAGATCTGACAGCTTCTCCCGATATTTGGGTGCGACCGGACGCACTCTTTGCGCTATCGGTGCTGCCCCACCGACATCAATATCACAGATCGCGCCTCGTGCTGCTGGTGGTAGAGCATTACCTTTACCCATGAGGAGGTGACGGCTCTTCCAGATCAGCGATCTGAGCCGTTGTTGATCTGTGGTGAGAGGCACATCGGGATCACCGATCTGAATGTCCTCAATCGTAACTTCTTCCGTAGTCGCCGACATCTCTGGTAGCACGGCCATATGCTGCTCGATATCTTCCGCAAACAAATCTCCGCTCTCGTGGTAATAAACTGGTATTTCTGCAATCTCGACGTCTTCAGTATTTAGCATTATTTCTTCTTTAGGCTCCTTCGTCTCTTCCGGCTGGCCCAATTTCAACAGTCGGTCAGTCGGCTCAGCCTTCGGTAGAGACGATCTGTCACGTAGCCCTTCTTGCCCGGTGTCGCGGTCTCCCTTCGTTGCATGTTGGGTACCGATCTCATGACCGTTCTCCATCCGCGATAGTTCGGCTCCCCTGACCGTTACTTCCCTCGCAACTACAGCATCTGCCTTTTGCGAATCGTCATCGTTAGCTTGCGGCGTTACCGTGGAGATCGCCGGAGACAGTTTCTGTAACGCATCAGACGGACGTTTCAAGATGCGTTTGGGAGCGGCATACGTAGGACGATCTACCAATGGTCCGATCGGTTCTTTCGGGAGTTCGTTCACTCGATCCGTCGTAGCCTCATATGCCAGAGTTTGCCATTCCTTGTACTTCCCCGACCCGACTGTCACCAAACCTTGAGTTCGCGGTACCATATCGCCTTCGACCCACATGCCTAATATAGTGTGGGTGGGCAGTATGATCTCACGGTCGCCAATGTTGGTCATCTGCAGGTATTTCGTCTTACCCCACCCCGAGATCACAGTGGGGACCCAATCTAGTCCTCTAGCGACCCACAACTTCATCTTAGCCCCTCCGATCCCGATCTTCACTTCCCTTGACTCTCCGACCGGGATCGCCACGTGTTGGTCCTTCGCCGTTATATGTTGTATCTTCGATCCGTACGCGGGGCGAAGTCCTGCGAGATGAATGCGGATTTCTTCTGGTAGACATAGCGCGCCATCCGCTAGATCGAGCCGCACTCCAGCAGGCACCATAAAATCCATACCCAGAATCGCTTCTTGCCCTGCCAGATCGCCTACCCATACATTGAAATAGTATACCAGCGATCCCGCGAGGGTCACCTTGATCTTGGTACGTCCTACCGTCATGTACGGAAATTCTCCAATCCCGATACATTCTTGTCGTTGAATTTCGTCAATATTGCAACCGACCTCACGAGCAAAGGTGGTGTCAATGATCGACACTTCAGCACCAGAATCAAATAACAGAGTAGCTTTTACGTTGTTGATCTTGCCAACGGCTTTCGCTTGTTTGAACCACTTCCCGGGTGAATAATGTTTCCAGTATCCGCGAGATTCACCATAAGCTAGCTCGATCTCCATAGCTGGTTCAGATCGTGAGTACTCATCGATCCGCTTCAGATGGGACGCGGAAGCGACACGTTTTAACTTCGAACGAGATATATTTGTTTCCACGTCAATATCCTGCTTACTCTCGCGATCTGTCTTCTTTTTTTCCACGTATGCAATAATGCAGAGCCCAGAACGCTCGGCTCGTACCAGATTCAAACCTGGCGAGCGTCCTAGTTTAACATCTTCTCGGCCTTCTCTGGTAGCATCCCCGCATGCTTATTCGGGACTTACCACTGACGGATCATGTTGTAGAACTCCTCCATGGGACACTTCCCCGGGTCGTGCATCTCACCGCAAGCACGACACACGAAAAAACAATTGTCAGAGGGGTGTCCTTTACGCCCACACTTCTGGCAAGTGAGCCGCTTCCAGCAACCGAGATCTCCATGCTTGGTCGATCCGCAATGAGTACACGGCTTCAATGGCATATTGCGATCTTGATAGTCTTGACGAGTGTTCGGGTCGACCGATCTCGCGTTTGCTGCAACGTCATTGGGGGATGAACGGCGATCCGCAGTAGCAGCCACATGGATCGATCTCAATCGATCTTCCAAATCCGATCCGCAGGTGTCTGATCCTGACTCGCTGCAGACGTCCTCGGTACGGACCATCCTTACCGCTCGTGCAGGTTTAGACAGCGCTGGACCCTGAGTTCCCTTCTGCCTGAATTTGGACGATCCCATCATCACTTTCCCTTGACGCGATCTCCCTTGTTGATATCCGTGCAGTGTCTTTTGCATGGCCTCCGCGTCTTCTACATTCAGCAGTAGCAATTGATTGGACAGATCGGGGTCGTCCAAGGTGTCAATGAAATGATTGACATGTTCCTTGCGCGCAGCTGGCAATCCAGTCATCACCGGTATCTTCGCCTGCATTCCCATCACATTAAGCCGATACAGGTACTGTAAAGGATCTTCCTCCGATCGTTTCTTTGCATGGTAGTACTGCCTGCTCGCGGACATCCCGTGTCCCGCATACTCCACAAGAAAACTG